ATTGGAGTAGTGGATTCAGTGCAGTAATTCCGAGAGTGAGAGAGGTTTTGAGCTGTTTTGGGGTTGGTTGGCTGTTTTGCTTAACCAACTTCAAACGGCGATAACCGGAGCAAATGAGCTTCGAATTGAGCGTGTGATAGCTTGTTGGAAAGGGAATTAAGTAAGACAAGAATATAATCTAAGAAGAAGGTCTGGTTGTGAGCGGTGTATTCGCAGAAAATTAATGAGTGAACCATGTTCGAAGAGGTAAAAACGTAAAGTTTAGTAATTGGCTAAGTGAGTTTATGGGAACCCCTTAGTAACTTATAATAAGTAAAGTAAGTTATAAAAATAGTTTAAATAAGTCTTCCGCAAGAGTTTACGGTTACGGTCACAACTTTTAATTATTACGCTTTTTATGTTTTAAAGGCTCGCGTAATAATCAGAAAAAGTTTATTCGCATTTTTGTAAATGAATTGCTGTGATTGTAACTGCGCTTAATATCATATTAATATTAACAATACCGGTGTACAACAGGCTGTTACAGAAAATTCATTAAAATTGTCGGAATTTTGAATACCACGAGATTGTGAGTCCATTGTTTAAAATCCTGATTGAATACCAACGGATTTAGATGAATTTTAAAATAATCCTTTAAAATCCTAATCGAATACCATGTGACTTTTTTCAATCCATTAAAATCCTAATCGAATACCAACGGATTTTTTTTTTTCGAAAACAATCCATTAAAATCTCAATTCAATACACCATCCTAAAGCGTAAACCCCAGCCCATTGCTTTGTTTTTTTTTTATAAACCTTATTAGCTCCAAATCTAAATAAACATCAACATTCTTGAAATTCAATCTTCATCAGGTGAAAGAGAATCACACGAGACTTTTCACGTTTTTTTGTGAAACAAAAATGACAAACTTTGGATCAAATAGATATCGACAAAGGTGAGTTTTTGATTGATTAACTCTTACAATTATACTATATTTTACAAATATCTTTTTGTGGTGTTTATTTTTTAAAATTATTATCTATTATTTCCTTAAAACTTTGGTTGATTCACCAAAATTTTACTTTTGAAGTGGAAGCAAAAATTAAATCATAATCATGATCTTCAAAATAAATAAAAAAATTGTGCAGACACAAGGAAAATGTCCTGGGTTCACTACTGTTTGAAAGGTGAAGAGAAAGAAAGAAGAGAGCATGAAGTTAAGGTTAAGAGAAGCATTCTTCTTCTTCTTCACAGTCACAGTCTCACAGATTTACGTTGAATGGAGTGAACCAGGTGCGTTATAGTGAACCAATCATCATTCTTTAAAAGAGGATTATTTTAGTCAACTTTTTCCCTTGCCATTTTCCATTTTCTTGGCAATCCAAGAATTCCACTCGGGGGGTGTTTAGTAGATGGGCAAACTTTATTTTCCTTGGAAAGTGACCTTGGCATTCTTTTTTTTTCATGTTTGGTATAAGGATTATAAATTTTTTTCCGGAAAAATCATATTCCTGGGATTTCAATTTGTGAAGCAGATTCCCATAAAAAATACCACCAGGTTGGTGGTATTTTGGGATTCCCACCCAGTGAGAAAATGAAACATGATTTTTATTACTAAAATAACCTTACCTTTTCTTCTCCATAATTACCACGCCCTTCCCTCTTGTTCAATGTCAAAACCCCTCTTCCAAGTTGAAAAATTCCCCCACCCCTGGGCAATCACAACACCATAATAAGAAGGAAAACTAAGCTCCAAATCACACTTATCAATGCAACAAGATACAAATTCAGGTTCTATGTTAAACCCCATTTCCCAAAACATTCATAAAATTGGAAGACTGAAAATTCAATACAATAAAAAAATTATCTCACATGCAACAATAAATTATTGGATAAAATAAAAATGTGGGTACACACACAGAGAGAGAGAGAGAAGGGGGAGATAGGGGAAATAAGAGCTTCACATGAATTCATGGCAAAAAGAAACAATATTCATTTTTTTAGGTTAAATGCAAAATTCTTCAAATCAAGAAGGCATCGAGATTGAGATAGTTGAGCTTCTGTATGGTTTAGGGACTTATAAGAACCACGAGTCTTCCTCGCAAAGCTTGAAGCTAGCGATTCGCCTCCTTCAATTAAGCTTCTGTACGGTTTGAGCTTTGTTAATTTCCTCCATTCACCTGAATCGATTGCGAGAGAGAAAGAGTTGAGACTGAATAATTTTGTAATTATTTTACTCAGAGGTTAATTTTGTTAATTTGGTTCACATATCCAGCAATATTTTACAATCAATTAAACAAAGTATCAGAAAAATTGACCCAACATTTCTGAGAATATTTTAGCCTACCAAACAATTTTTTGATAACATTCCGGAAAAATTCCCTTCCCACAATATTCCTGGGAATTATAAATTCTTGAGAAAAAAAATTATTCTTTACCAAACATACCCTTAGAGAGTGGTATTCCTGAATGAGATTTTCAATCACAATTTGCTCACAAAATAAAATCCTGAAAAAATCACATTCTTTGGAAGATTTTCAGAAATCCCATAACAAATATGGATAAATAAGATTATTATTCTCACTTTCCCGGAAATCTCAAAATAAACTCTTTACCAAACACCCCTTAAGATGTACCGAAAAAAGGTTAAGTTTTAATGGGTTGATTTGACTAATTTATTTATACTCCTATTTTAAGGGAGGTTTATACGGAACATGCAATCAAGGGGAGATTGTTGGTTAAAACAGTTATAAACTAATATGTTATTGTTTTAGGGGTAGGATATTGTAACAACCAAGTAGGGTTACTACCAATCAATTTCACCGTTAGATTGGTTATTTTGATCTGACGGTCCTGATTTGATCCTTATATACCCTCTCTTTTCCCTTCTCTCTCTGATTATACTCTCTATCGCCGTCGTCGCGCTGCTGCACTCTACCGCCGCTACCCATAGCTTGCAATAAAACAAAATACTTCTCACATCATCCTCAGGATAGTGGATCCAGATGCTGTGAATGAAACCAAACCCTTCAAGACAACATAATCTTATTTCAGAACTAAAAAATCTACTACTTCCAATGCACTTCAATGGTTAGGCTAGCAAATGAGGAAACATATTGTCTAGCAGCCAAAGTAGAAATTGTTTAACAAGAACAAAATCATCCAATCTTTTGATCTAATTCACTTATGAATACCCTTTTCTTATTTATTTATTTATATTTTGGGTTTTCAATTAATATATACAATTTTTATAGGCAATTTTAGATATTTTACCAAAAGCTTATAAAGTTTATGTACACCAAATCACGCATGAAACTGAGCCAGTGTCAGCAACTTCTTGGAAGACTCTGAAATCATTTTTTTCCAAAGAACCAAAATGCGATACACATATCTTAAGCCATTATTAATTCTTCCCATATGATGTAGAGATCTATGAAGTAAAAAAATCCCAAACTGTGATGAAAGACGCAGAGTAGGGAAATAGTGCGGCGGGGCGACAACGGCGGTAGAGAGTGTGGTCAGAGAGAGAAGGGGGAAGAGAGGGTATATAATGACCAAATCAGGACCGTCGGATCAAAATAACCAATCTAACGGTGAAATTGATTGGTAGTAACATTGGTAGTAACCCTATTTGGTTGTTACAATATCCTATCCCATTGTTTTATATTAAAAAATATATAAAAAATTGTAAGTATCGTTTGAATTTTTTATAAGTTATATGTATCTTATTTTACATGAGAAAAATAAATTTTTTATATACACAAAAGCGAGGTGAATTTGATCTCTTTTTTCTTCTCTCCTTTTATATATGGATCCTACTTATAATTTTATTTTTATTACATAAGATAACTCATTTTCTACAATATAAGAAAAATTATTTCCAATGTTTTATATTTAAAATAGGGATTTGCTTTTTTTGCAGTTACTGCAGATAAGTTATCTGCAGTAAGCCTAATATGACGTCGTTTTGGGGCGAAAATCAGGATATTTTTGTAATTTTAATTTATTTCAGAGTTATAATAGTCTTTATATTTATATTTTTTTAAAATTTCAATACAAAAACGACGTCGTTTTGGGAATAAAAGCCATAACTTATCTGCATTAACTGCAGAAACATTTTTCCCTTAAAATAGTCAGATGTTAATTTATAAATGACTTAGTTTAAAAACTTTTATAAATTATATTTAGACAAGGAATTTTATGTAGGAAGAGAGGAATTGGGTAAAAAAATCTGCGACCCCGTTCTCCTCTCGAAAAACACAAGTTATCACGACCGGCATAAAATAAATTGAAGATTTTAAAAGAGTTATGTCGTAGGAAAATTGATTGTGTAATGTTATAGAGATTCGTTTTGCGTGCCGTAATTTTCTTTTTTCTTCAAAAAGTGTGGGCCTACAAAATGTTGTGTGTATAGAAAAGTTTGTTGTGTCATGATAAATGAAAAATGCAAATTCCATAAATTAAATTACATAAGTTTTGTTTTTTTGTTTTTTGGGTACTAATTAAATTAGCTAAAATGATTTGAGTGTAATACAAGAGCTGAAAATATAATATAGGAAATAGTTGTATTTTTTATTTTTGCACTAGGAAAAGGTGTGTCTATGGTTGGTGAGTTGGTTGCAGGGCGAAGGGAAGCCTGCCTCGTGTACCTACTTCTCTAAGTTTGAATCATCCTTCTCATGTGGTGCAGACATCAAATAATTTAATTTTTATTACAAAAAAAAACTAGTTTGGTAAAAAGGAGAAAAGAATTTATAATTTTTATTCAAAATTATTTATCTTATGTTACATTAGTATAATTATTTTATATGAAATAAAATAGTGTAATCTATTGTTTTTTTAAATAAATAAAAATAAATCATACAATTTTATTTGTATTGTATAAGATAATTATCTCATGTAATATAAGATAATTATTTATGTTTTTATTAATTATAAAAAGACACACGTCATTTTCTAAATATAATGTGTAGTGACTTACTCGCGGCTGTTTAGGGTTGAATATTATAATATATTATTAGGAATCGAAATGTATATTAAAAAAAATAGAAAAAGGAAAAGGAAAGAGAATTTATATAGAGCAGAGTAGCGGGGGATTCTGGTTTATTGTGTACCATCGAGTGAGTGGCGATCGGAATCGGATCCAGGTATAGCTTATTGTCACAGATCTTTCTTTCTTTCGATCCACAAGCCTCTTAGGGTTTCTTGCCTCATAGATTAACTAAACCCCACCTTAGATTTTTCTATTGTCCCTTTGTTTTTATATCTAGTTCTTATGCGTGTTCTAGATTAATTATTATCTATTCTAAAGAAATTTGTTGATGGATTACGGTTTTTGTGACTAGCTTTGTTTCATTCAAGTTTAAGGAAGGAAAGCAAGATGTGGGGTGTTATAAGGCACAAGGTAAGATATTTGCCTTTGTCTGGTTCCGTTATTCCATTGTAGCTCCATTTCACACACACTTTTTTTTGCAGACTATTCGCCCTGCCTTAACAGCATTCAGACCTTTCTCTTCTGCCGCTAAAGAGGTATTGCTTTCTTCCTTCTGCCTCCACCCCCCCACAACAAATTCACTTTAGAAAATAGAAAACTCTGATTCACCTTTCGATTTTCAAACGGAAATTATGCAGATGTCTGTCAGAGATGCTTTGAACTCTGCACTTGATGAAGAAATGTCAGCTGATCCTAAAGTCTTCTTGATGGGTGAAGAGGTCACCCACTTTTTCCCTTATATATATATATATATTGCAAATGAATTATTGTTGGCCTCTTCTCCTTCTTTTTCCCCCTCCCCGTTTCTTATGTTCATTTTTGGTTGTATTTAAGTGCAGGTTGGGGAATATCAGGGTGCTTACAAGGTTAGTTATGGGTTTCCAGTTGTTGGTGCTGTTTCTTGGCTAGTTGTGGATTTAAGAACCTGATTAACCATTACCTGTTAACCTTCTTTCTTCTTTCATTTTAGATATCCAAAGGGCTGCTCGAGAAGTATGGCCCCGAGAGGGTTCTCGATACTCCGATCACTGAGGTTGATTTTTCTTAACAGACTTCCTCATTCCTTTTATACTTTTGCAACCTCTGATTTGCGAGTTCTTAATCATGTCCTTCTGCCCCTTCTTTTACATGCGTACATTTATAAATCATCTTGTCACTACATTGAGTTTTATTTAATAGCGCATCGAAATTGATTCAAATTTGGTACTTCTTATGTCTCTGGCCCTCTCCAAGTTTTAGTCTTTTAGACCTAGTCATTATCATATGACAAGAAACTCAATTTTTTGCAATGAGAAATTCATTGGTATTCTATTTTCAGTTAGAAATTTATAGAATTCGAAACAAATTGCAAAATCCAAACTATTGCAAAAGTGAATATTTTATTGTTGGTATTTTTGCTTTATTTTCTGAGCTAGTAAGGTGCTGGCATGACTTCGTAACTGGCATAAAAAGTCCCAAGCACAATGTAATGAGATAGATTTGGTGATAAAGCACATGTTTTTACCTTGAACCTTCTTCAAATAAAACTTGCAAGATTTTGGTATCCAAACACTTCTGATTTTCTCTCTGTACTTGCCAAGGGCCAAGTTTTAATATGTTCGACGATCCATTAATGGAATCATACAACAAAATAAACAAATCATAATTTTAATATTATGGTGGCATGGGGATATGAATTCCTTGGAAATGGGCATGGGATGTTATGTTGGGCTATCTTCTTCATGCTTTGCTGCCTCTTAACTTTTTGTAATGGATTTCTCATTTAACATGAAAATTGACTTTTCCTTCTTCTTAACTCTTAAGTCGCTGCTTAAAATTAATACTTTAAGTTGCCATGTTTGATTACGTTTTCAATACCATGGGTGGTGTTTTTTCAATCTTAAAAATTAGATAGACAGATGGACTTTTAATAATCAAATTAAACTTATAATTTCTAGGAAAAAGAACATGATTTATACATGGTAGCAGCTGTTGGTTTGATGTAATTTGTTTGTTAAATATAATGCAGGCGGGGTTTGCTGGGATTGGAGTTGGCGCTGCTTACTATGGTCTAAGGCCTGTTGTGGAATTTATGACATTTAACTTCTCCATGCAGGTTAGAGTTTATCTTGATTGCATCCTTTCTCTCTGAGCGTGCACTTAAGTGGGTGATTTACTTCTTATGGAACCACTTAATTTATGTATAATATTATGTCTTATAAAGTAGGTCAATGGTCACCCTAAAAAATTATTAGATGGAATCTTAGGAGTTATGTGCGATAAGAATACCAAAGTTATGAAGTTTCCAGCGAATAGTGATTAATTCCACAAGGACAAGTGTTTATTTCCCTGTGAGTCTGTGTTGAACATCATAGTTGGCAATCCCGGATGGAAGCATGGAGCGACCAACCCCAAAAATGCTATACCGATTAGCGAGATGACTGCTCTATTGAAGACTGCATATACAAGAGTAATAAGCTATACTGTAAACAATCATTTCAACCAAAAAGTTTAAGGTGTCAGGTGAAGGTCAAATTAATGGTTTTATATTTCTCTAACACTTGGGTGGACAATGCACATGTACTAACAAATTTCTCAATATTTAATTATTTATTAATAGAATTGCGGCAATGAGGATCAAATTCGTGACCACTTGGTCGCAAAGGCTCTGATATCATGTAAAGAACCATTTCAACTCAAAAGCTTTAGCTGTTAGGTGAAAGCCACATTAATGGTTTTATATTTTTCTAACATATACAACATGTGAATCAATGATAAAAAATTAAAAAATACTCAAAATCAATGATATATTCATCATTAACAATCAAAAGTCATAGTTGCACACAATCACCATTAATCTAAAGCATAATTAACAAGTCAATAACTAAAAAGTCAAGGAGAATAAGGAAAAGAAGTATAGTATGAAATCCTAATTAAGTTTAAGCCTATAACAGAGGTGGGATGGGATGGGAGTTGCTATGCAGAACACATAATGCTAGTGGATTGCTGGAAAATGACATTAAACAATGGAAAATGGTGAAGCTCAAATCAGAGGGGGTGGCAGGATGGAAAACGAAGCTTTCTGGAAAATGACAAAGGGCTTGGGTGGAAAAAATGGTGAAGTTCGAACCAAAAGGGGAGGCACAACAAAAATCACCTCAGAAATTAGGAGAGAGAGAGAGAGAGAGGAGGGGGGGGGGGGGGATGATGATGATGAAATTCATGAAATCAGCAGTAACAGTTGTGATTTTCTGTGATTGGGAGCTGCAATGTCCTCTCCGTTAAAATACGAAGTAATGCTCTGCACGTCGCGCCATGAAATCCCTGTGATTGGCTACCCTGTTAAAGATATAAAATTATGGATTTGTGTTTGGAGGCAAGCTATTGATCTCTATATTGGAATAATAGATTCAGCCTATTGTTAACAGTGCCACTCATAGTTGACTTTGTAAATAACAGTTCTGTGGTCTTTAACTAGTACATTGAATGTCACATGGATGCCATATTAATCAAACAAGTTTGTTAGATGGCAGGCCTTTTTGCTGGAATTTCGTTACTTGTTAACTCTTATTTGCTTCTGTGTTCAAGTATATTCTTAGATCTGAATCATCTTGGAAGGTGAAATCTCTTTCCCCTGCATGACAGCATACCCTTTTGTTTGCAATCTTAATATTGGGCATTGCTCCCTTGAATATTGAAATACAAACGAATTGTAAAGAATGTTGTGTCAACATGTATAATGACATTTACTCTTGGGCTTTTTTGTTAGGCAAAACTGCCGTATCATCTTGTTGGCTTATTAGCCTCTGGATCAATTTTATCTCACTCATTGTCTCATCATCTTTTTAACTTGTGTTGCAGGCAATAGATCACATTATTAATTCTGCTGCAAAATCAAACTACATGTCTGCTGGGCAAATATCTGTACCTATTGTCTTTAGAGGACCCAATGGTGCTGCTGCTGGGGTTGGTGCTCAGCACTCTCATGTATGAATCTCCAAGCTCCTTTTCTGTACAAACTTTTCTTAACTATTTCTTTGCATTACCCATTGAGTTTTACTATGGTTATGACCTAATAGCATAGATAGTGTAGGTTTTGCCTCACTTAGTACCCTGCAACTTTGCTTTTATGCAGTGTTATGCTTCTTGGTATGGCTCGTGCCCTGGGTTGAAGGTTTTGTCACCATATTCATCTGAAGATGCTCGTGGTTTGCTTAAAGCTGCTATAAGGGACCCTGATCCTGTTGTTTTCCTTGAAAATGAGTTGTTGTAAGTTGTGCTGCTTTGATTAGTACATGAAAATGAGTAGTCGGAAAATTTCAACATCATTTCTTGTTTTAAAAATATTTAATTTGATGACATATGCCCTCTAGATACGGTGAGTCATTCCCTGTTTCGGCTGAAGTTCTTGATTCCAGTTTTTGCCTTCCCATAGGAAAAGCAAAGGTATTCAATTATCTGTGATATATGAAATAAACCTCACTTTTGATTGTTAGAGTCATACTTGTTATGTAATAATGAAATCTTATTGAATCCTTGTTTGCTTCATGCATTTTACCTTTAACAGATTGAGAGAGAAGGAAAAGATGTGACTATTACAGCCTTTTCAAAAATGGTTGGCTATGCTCTCAAGGTTTGTTTGTTTTCAAAAATGGTTGACTATTCTAGTGTGTATTGTTTGCTTGTGTGCTCAATTTATCATTTGCTGAGAAGTATGTCAAATAGATATAGGTTTGTCTTGCATATAAATATTAAATAATTAGAGAAGAAACAAGGAACAGTAAATATTTTTGGATGGGTTGGTGTGATATGTAGTGTTTTAAATTTATTTTTAGAAAAAAATCAGTATCTCTAACCCCTTTCTGTCCTCAAAATGAAGAGAACATTTGTAAATAACTCTTTTGCTTGGTATTTAGGCTGCTGAGGCACTGGCAAAGGAAGGAATCAGTGCTGAGGTAAGCCTTGCAATAGTTTATTAATAAACTTCCCCCTTTCTGCAAAACTATATTTTGGTTATGATAATGCTGACTGATGGTCTTGTACAAATAGGTTATAAATTTGCGTTCAATCCGGCCACTTGATCGATCCACTATCAATGCTTCTGTCAGAAAAACCAACAGATTGGTGACAGTTGAAGAAGGGTTTCCTCAGCATGGTGTTGGCGCCGAGATCTGGTTTATCTCTTTACATTGACTTTTTTGTATCTTTCTGGTTAACTCTTTGAAATCATGTAATTTTTTACTTCTCTTGAGCAGCACATCTGTCATAGAGGAGAGTTTTGGTTATCTTGATGCACCAGTTGAGAGAATTGCTGGGGCTGATGTTCCCATGCCTTATGCAGCAAATCTGGAAAGAATGGCTGTACCACAGGTAATGCTTGTTAAATATTAATTTTGCTTTCTGTAAATTTCTCAACCTGATTTGGAATATTTTAGTTTTCTTTATCCGCAAATTGATAAAAAAAAGTATTTCTATTTTTAAATGGGTGAAATAATAGCCGAGGTGATGACTTTGTATGACAGAGTTTTGTATCTGTAGAAAAACCTGATGCTAACTTGTTGAATGTTTTGATACCAGAAATTTTTTTGAAGGGGCAAAATTATACTGTAAATTTTTTCTTTGAAGTTATAGTTATTTATATGACAAACAAATAATAGATATGGTGCTTACAACTCAAGGTTTATGTAGATTTTGAAGGGGGACGAACATTATATATATAACCAAAAAATTAAAAATAATGCTCACTTCTATAGGTTTATACAAAAGTGAAGGGGGGCTAACTCCTCTGCTAGCCTCTCCCTTGCTCCACCCCTGTTTGATATATGTGTATAGATCATTTAAATCTGGTTTCTTATTGGTATATGTGGATGTTCAGGTTGAAGATATTGTTCGTGCTGCAAAGAGAGCATGCTACAGATCTGTGCCTTTGGCTGCAGCTGCTTGATTTTATCTAGTCCTAAAGTTTTTCATATCCTGGTTACTTCTTTGGTAATCCTTGATTTTACCAAAAACAATCTTTCGCCAAATTTCCACCATAAAGCAGCAGAAAGAAATTGCAACCAGAGAATGCTGGTTTTACCCGTGGATTATGTTAGGATATGGTTTAAAAGATTCTGATGTATGCATAATACTGTCCAAATTTTCAGGAGTAACAGATGCTATACATTTTTTCCCCTTCTCTGCATATCTGGGAGGAAGTTCATGCTTAATAACTTGGCTAACAATGACACAAGGCGGGAAGTTTTGTGCATTTTTTTGAATTGTGATTGGCAATAACCAAGTAGTCATCTTTTTCATTACATTATCGAGTTTTTTCCCCCCTTCTTTCTAGGGGACCACTTAAAGCAAAGTCTAGCTCGCTGTTTTGGGTTAATCCTTGTTTAGTTTCATCTGCTAACTAGAGATATGCAATGTGGTTTGTATGATTTTAGTTGCATTGTTTTCTAATGCGATGCGATGTGATCCCTATTTTTTTGGAGGGGCATATTTTTACTACCAAAAAAATTCACTACTTATTTGATCATCATTGGATCAAACAGAGTGAATGTTGAAAAGTTTCGGAAGAGAAAGAAAATGTTGATTCAACGGTAATTAGATAGGTAATGGGTTGATAATGAATTTTTTTAGTTGTAAGAATATCTCCTCTATTTTTTGTGGGTCAGGTCTAAATGTGCAATTACTCAAATATTTGCACATGTGTTTTTGATGACAGAAAGAATGCAAAAAAGATGTGTTTTAACTAAAAAAAAAAGCAAATTAGATAGCCTTCATGTATCACATAAAAGTATAAATAAAATTTAAAAATAATTATTATTTAGGTGGGTATCATCGTTGCATAATAATAATAATTAGTTAAAAACCTTTGAGAGTGTAAAGAATGAGAGAAAATAATTTTAAATTTAAATTTTAAAATTAACAGTAAATGGGACTTGTACATATATACATGTTAAAGGGAAGGATCATTAAGGACACGAATGTAATTAAATGTGTTAGTTATGAGCTATGCACAAGTGAATTAATTGTAAGTTAGTTTATAAAAAGCTACATTCTTACTTATGTTTAATTTGTTGTAGTATAATGATTTATGTTAAAGATTCAAATCTTGACCTTCAATTGCAAACAATTATGTTAGAAATATGATATAAAATATAACATAATTCATTTGTTTTTATTTTTGGGTTAATTTGATTGATGCTTAAGTTGCAAATCTTTTTTTAACAGAGCCTATAGAAATGTATAAGGAAAGTAACGGAGAATCAGTACCTGCTTTAAATTCTAAAAGACTTAAAAAAAACCTACACTGTTTGTTGGCCTTTACTCCCAGTCAGTCATTCTCTGCTTTTTACCATAATTCTACTTGACAAATATTGCCGATAATGAGAAACTGATTGGCCTTAAACTTCTGTTTAATATCCTAACTAAGTAAATAGCCAATGAAAATTGATTTTGTTTGAAAATTGGACTGTTTTAGAAATGAATGCGTATTTACGTAACGCTATTCTTTTAAGTAACTTTAGCCTCTATGGCCTGATTTCTCAATTGAGAAATGACTAGTCATGTTCCATTATTAAAGACCAGTCAATATATTTAGAACACCAATATTGAATTTTATCTGGTGGTTCGTTAGACTTGAACATGTAATGCTATTTCAGAAATAAGACGTGCAGCAGTTTTCGTCATTGTCAACATTAACATCTATTTTTTTTGCATGATATAAAAATTAAGGAGATTCCAAAGGGGACGAAATATAGAAACTGGTCATGTTCATGTACAACAAGTGTCGTGTCCTTGACCATCCCATTTTTTTTTCTTTCTATAATTACCAAAACAAAGAGTGGAATGTTTAGAAATTAATAAATGACATTCAATAGATGAATGGTGCTCCCAAAAAATTAAGTTAAATTCTACTGGTTTCTTTTAAAATGGAAAAAAATAATAGAATTATTTTTTAGTGTTAATTTACGTGAACTTAAAAAGCTTTTCTTTGTAGCTTTTTACTACTATATTTTCTTGAAATTTAAAATATAATTAGGAGCCTCTCAACTTGAATTAGATTATAAATATCTCGTAGGAAGAGAAAAATAATAATATATAACACAGTGAAAATTCTTTAACCAAAAAGTAAAATTGAATGATTAATATAAAAGCTTTTGCATCTCATAGTATAGGATTTTTTTTATTCTTTGTTGTTTTGAGGGATAAAAGAGAGTTTATTTTATTTTATTTTTTTAGATAAATCATAGATATTTTTTCACATATGACAATTTTGTACGAGACGGATTTAAGATTAAAGTTTTAAATTCGTGCAAGATAATTAATTTTCATGGAAGGTATTGTTTTGAGTCTTTTGACCAAGCAAGTTTTTGTTAGTATTTTAGGCCGATTATAGCAATGTATGAGTCATAAAAATGGAGAGAATGGAAAGTGGAGAAAAAAGGAATAAAGAAAAGGGGAAAGGAAAAAGTCAAGAAATAAGAAGGTTAGGAGAAATTGTATTGTTATTTGTAGTATAATAATAATAATAATAATAATAATAATAATATTTAATCAATAATTATTATAACCCTTGGTTCAAATGTTCAGGAGTTCCGAGGTTTCGAATTTAAATGCTGATAATGGAAAGTCAGCCTATGTAATCTGACAATGCAAGGATTAAATAATAATAATAATATGATAGGTTCGGTCATGGTCATGGGTGTGGTGTTTGCGTAAGCAGAGGAAGCGGTTGAAGAAAGAATTGGTGTGATTGGGATTGGGAATTTTGACCTGGTTGTTGGGCATTGGCATTTCCGATTGTTTCACTCTAATTTGCAATAACAATCAATAATAGCATTGGTACAAACAAAACAAGCAACAACAGCAAGCAAGTAGAAACAAGCAAGTAGAAAGAGAAGAAGAATGAAGAGCTCTCTGAAAAAGTTGCGAGGTCTGGCACTTCACAATCACAATCACAAGCATGATTCGAAGACCATTCTGCCTCTGGGCCAGTTAGACGAGCTGGCTCAGGCTACCCAGGCACGTGCGCATTCTCTCTCTCTCTCTCTCTTCTCTTCTAGAAACTTGTTTTAGGGTTTCATGGAATTGAATCTTAATTGCAGGACATGCAAGACATGAGAGATTGCTATGATACCTTGCTTTCCGCCGCCGCTGCAACCGCCAGCAGTGCTTATGGTAGGTATATTCATAATTCATCGACAGTTTCTGCTTAGTCATATCATCATCATCATCAACAACAACAACAACAACAATCTCTGCTTTCAGAATTCGCCGAGTCCTTGCGGGACATGGGCTCTTGTCTTCTTGAGAAAACCGCTTTAAATGATCATGAAGAAGAAACTGGTACTGTTACTGTTACTATTATTATTCCTTCCTATTACGCTTTATCCATCTCTAATCCTCTATCTCTTAACTCTTTAACTAACCACTTCCCTGTTGCAGGAAAAGTTCTCCTCATGCTTGGCAAAATCCACTTCAAACTTCAAAAACTCATTGATAACTATGTCACTCCTAATCCCATCTTTTTATTTCATCTTTTCCTTCCATTTTCATTTTCTAACCTCTTTTGCTTTTCAATTTCAGCGTTCTCACATATTCCAGACAATCACCATTCCCTCCGAGTCTCTCTTGAATGAACTTCGAATTGTTGAGGTTTCTTCTTTTAACCCTGTTTCTTAGCTATTTCCATCTATTACACAAAATATTGTGTCTACTTCTACATCAACTTCCTTGAATTTTGAAATTCAAACTGCACTTTCTGTTTTTCTCCTTCTTCATTGTCCTGCCTCAGTTAAATTCTTTACTTAATGTAAGTTTTTTACGTGCGTGTTCTCCTGTATTTATTCTGGATTTTATTTAAGCTTTGAGACAATATAAAGTGCCTGTGACTAGAAGATTGATCAGACAATTACTGAGACATCCTAGTGAGATAGGCAATTTATCTTTAGGGCTTCATACATATCAATATAGGAATCCTGAAGCTTGAGGATTCAAAGTACGGCTGGAAGCTCGTTTCGCTCTGTGATGAATGTTAGATTATTGAAGGATTTAATCACAAAATGCAATATCTTTTAAGCCTTTTACACAAGTTCCTTCAACTCCTTAATCTAGATATAGCAGTAGTGGGATATCTGCTGCCTGAAAACACAGCTGTACCAAGCTGCTTCTTAGTTATTCTTCTCACCCACCTTTAGTAACTTCATAAACTCATAAGTTCACTCTTGGGGTTATGGAGACATCTTGAAGTGTTATTCAAGTTTGTTGTATAAATGTCAATGCTGGTTAAAATCGCAACTCTTTGTTATTGCTATGAGTCTATGACTTAAGAATATATTTATTTTAATTCTTAAACTTAGGTACTGTGGTGACTGTGATCATTCAATTTACTATGCCTTGCCGCATAATTCTTTATGGAGGACCTTTAGTAATTTTGATCAATGTTTTGTTTTTTGTCTTAATGCTGGAGCAGGAGATGAAGCGACAATGTGATGAAAAAAGGTTTGAAATGTTATGTTTGATCTAATTTTGTCTTTGAATGTGATACATGTCTTATCATTTTGTTTAATGATCTGCAGAGATCTATATGAGTATATGGTATCAAGATATAGAGAAAGAGGTAGGTCTAAAGGTGGAAAAGGGGAAACTTTTTCGTTGCAGCAATTGCAAACTGCTCGTGATGAATATGATGAAGAGGCTACATTATTTGTTTTCCGATTGAAATCTCTGAAGCAAGGACAATCGCGTAGTCTTCTAACACAGGCAGCACGTCACCATGCTGCTCAGGTCTTTCTTACTCCCTTATTTCTTCTTAAGAACCGGGAGTTCTTACCTTTTAAGTTTTAATTTGTATGTTGATTACTGTTGCTTTCTGTTATGCCCCAAAACAGTTGTGTTTCTTCAAGAAAGCAGTCAAGTCTCTTGAGACAGTAGAACCACATGTAAAATCAGTAAGTGAACAGCAACACATTGATTACCACTTTAGTGGTCTTGAAGAGGAGGATGAGGATGAAGGTGATGATGGAGGTGACCATGACGATGGTTATGATGAGAATGATGACGGGGAGCTGAGTTTTGACTGCGGACCAATTGAACAAGAACGAGATGTTTCTGCATCACGAAACTCAATGGAGGTACCTTAAGTAACCAGGAATTTGTAATTTTTCTCTCCCCATTCTATGCTTCTCAAACTTATTTAGAAACGGATGTTTAATGAAGACTGAGTAACTACCTCTACGAACGGGCATAAATATTAGCAGGCAAGTGATTGTGCACACAGGCAGTGGTTGGTGAGGGGTTTAAATCCTACTGCGTGCTAAACAGAACATAAGTAAAAACAAAATTAAATAGTGAATGAATGAATTCATGGGGAAGAAATGCTTAAGTTGTTAGGCCTTTAGGGACCAAAGTCCACGAGCATCAGAGTTGTGGGTAGAGTAGTTTTGTAGCCTTATGCACAGAAACTTGACATCCTTGTTTGTATGAATGTGGCTAATTGCTCTAAGTGCGGAAGTAATATGATTTGGTTGGAATGCTAGATGGACAGATTGAACAAGAACTCTAGAAGAAAACTATGGAGTATTAACTAATGCATAAAAATGCTATGGAAGTTTTCATATAACAAACTTTTGATCATGAAGATTTTGCATCAGAATTATAGATATGGTTTTAATTTTCAAGTCTATAAAACACTTCTATTAGCTTAAATTACTCTTAAGTTTCATGACATACTGCTTAACCATTTTGCTTCCTTTCAGCTGGACCAGGTGGAACTTACACTTCCCAGATGTTCAACAGCTGAAGCTGCTAAGGTCTAAAAGATGTTTCAATTATCTTTATTTTCCTTTCTAATATACAATTTATAATACATAAGAGTATACCTAATGAATTTTTGTTGCTCTATTTGTAGGAAAACTTGGATAAGCTTCAAAGGAATTTGTTTTCCTTTAGGGTTAGGCCAGGGAGCCAATCTGCCCCACTTTTTCCTGATAATAAACCTGATTCTAGTGAAAAACTGCGACAGATGCGCCCATCTTTATCACGGAAGTTCAGTTCATATGTGCTACCCACACCGGTTGATGCAAAGAGTTCAATCTCTTCAGGGTCAAATAATCCAGTGCCTTCCAAAATTCAGACAAATTTAAATGAACCTACAAAGAATTTGTGGCATTCCTCCCCACTGGAACAAAAGAAACATGAAAAATTTATCGGAGATGAGTTTTCTGGTCCTGCTGTTAGAAATGCACAGTCTGTACTCAAAGAGAGTAACAACAATACTGCCTCCACGAGATTGCCGCCTCCTTTGGTAGATGGTCTTTTATCCTCAAATCATGATCATGTTTCTGCTTTCTCTAAAAAGATTAAAAGACAAGCTTTTTCTGGCCCACTGACAAGTAATCCTTGGCCCACCAAGCATGTCCCAGCAGAAAATGTTCAACTGTTCTCTGGACCTCTTTTACCAACTCCAATCCCGCAGCCTCCATCATCATCTCCAAAAGTATCTCCTAGTGCTTCTCCTACCTTAGTGTCTTCACCTAAAATTAGTGAGCTTCATGAACTTCCGAGGCCTCCAACCAGTTTCCAATCCAATTCCGGGCTTTTAGGTTTGGTGGGTCATTCAGGTCCATTGGTGTCCAGAGGTCAAAAGTTTTCGGCTGCAAATAATTTGGTTTCATCAAGTGCAGCATCTCCACTGCCAATGCCACCTCAGGCTATGGCTCGTAGTTTCTCCATACCTTCTAGTGGTGCTAGAGTTGCAGCACTACATGGGTCAAGGGCACTGGAATCCTCTCATAGATCGTCTATATCTGAGGATATTACTTCCCCTCCTCTGACGCCAATAGCATTATCTAGTAGTCGGCCATCATCAGATGGCTGAGTTTGTTGCTCTGGATGTTTAGACTGGAGGTAACTTTTAAACCAGGGTTGTTTTGTTTACTTTTTCTTATTTACTGTTTTCTTTTCTGTGGATTTATTTGAGCAGTCGATGTTAAGTATGGAATTTAGACAATGTGGAAAGAGTTTAAGTTTCATATATAAATGGCAAAGCCTTTGTCTCAATTTGCCTGGTTTGCAGTGGGATAAAATGCAAGTGAGAGCTAATCCCTAATTCTATATCAAGTACATGAAACGCCATTAGTATATGGACAAACTACTGTTGAGCAAATTCTATCTTCAAAATAAACTAGCTGACCTCCATACATATACTTTCTAGAAATGCACGTTGGGATTAAATATATTTACGGTGCAAGCATTTGATATTTAATGGACTTGACATTTAACTATGTTCTAAGTTATTTACAATATCAGGTGATACATGTAGAACGCACTTCATTTCTATTTCATACCGTTTGCTTGGTAACATGTCCAATTGGCGGGGTACATATTTTAGGACATGATAAGCCAGTTTTACTATAGGCAAGGAATTTTTAGTTCAAAAATGTTGGTTGTAGAAATTGTTGTTCCAAATGGTTAAATACGGTCATGATACCATTAAAAGATGATTTAATTTAGAAAATGCCTTTATTGTTCTTAGTTCCTACTACAATCCTTTAGGAAATTTTAGTTTAACTTCAAAAGATTTTATCTTTACTTTCTGTTTTTCAGGGATATGCATGTTTATACTAATATCAAGCTATGAACCCAGGTATGGACAATTGTGCAGATTAGTTCCGCTCACGACAGAAGCAAGCCATGTTTACAACCTGGGAAATTAAGCTTAGGGTCAAGTTTTGCTTCGTTGCAAATTTGTAAATATTATTTTTTCTTGTTATTCTTTTATCTGTCACTATCATTGTTAAATCAACCTTATAATGGGCGTTTGTCGAATTTTTATTGCAATAAATGCCCATTAGTTCTATTGTTAAAATATGCATTTAAGCAATTGATAATAACCAGTCAATCACGCCTCCCCTTTCACGCGATCCAATTGTCTATTTAAGTTTTGTGTGTCCTTCGGTAAATGTTGTTGTTTTCGGTCGATTTTTTATTTAATCATTTCTAAGAACAAATCAAAACAACCTCAGAGAATCTTTTATGGATTTGAGTTCAAATCGTGCTTTTGATTTATCTGCCAACAGGTGGAGTTCGTGGTAAGATAGTGAGTAGGGTTCTTGTAAATGTTGACACGATTTCCCTGCCTTGTTTTTGGAATGTTAAATGGTTGATCACACGTTTACGCTGCATGTAACCATCGAAGAAAGCAGAAGTGAAATGGACTGGCATGCAATTATGACTTACGGGTGAGTGAGTGGAACCACGCCTTAAACTGCTAGTCTGTGGGGTATAGGTACCTGTACCGTAGCATTTTCTTTGTACTGGTATACTGAGTTTAGATCAGCCAATTATTAGGTATTCTTGTTGTGGACTTGTGGTGGGTGATTTTCTTTAGAAGATGTAAGGAAAATCCGAGTCCCAAATTGGATTGGTCTGTTATTATCATCATATATATATATATATATATATATATATATATATATATATATATATATATATATATATATATGGGAAAGATATTGTGACAACCAAGTTGTGTTACTACCAAGTGACTATCAATCAATCTCACCGTTAGATCGATTATGTTGATCCTACAGTTATATTTATTTCTATCTTTGTATGGTCATGATTTTTCAAATTTAATACTTTATATTTATTTTCATCTTTGTATGGTTATGATTTCTCATATTTAATGCTAAAAGCATTAAATATGAGAAATCATAACCATACAAAGGTGGAAATAAATATAACCATTGGATCAACATAATCGATCTAACGGTGAGATTGATTGGTAGTCACTTGGTAGTAACACAACTTGGTTGTCACAATATCCTTCCCCATATATATATATAGGGTTTTATAAGAGTTATGTTGTAGGAAAAGTGATTGTGTAATGTTATAGAGTTTCGTTTAGTGTGCCGTAGTTTTTTTTTTTTGCTTCAAAAAGTGTGGGCCCCAAAAAATGTTGTCTGCGTAGAAAATTTTTTTGTGTCATGTTAAACAATGATCCGTTTATAATTTTTTTTTTACAAATTACACTAAGTATGACTGGTCATAAACTTTTGATTGAAGTATGACCGGTCATACTTAATGTAGCTTGTAAGAGTTTGTAAACAAAAAGTTTGTAAATATAACTTTTTCCTATATATATATATGGGTTTGTTTTTTCTGATGTTACTTTAGATAACTTTATCTAATGTTCATCAAAACGACGTCGTTTTGGGACGGAAATCATGGTATTTTTATAATTTTAATTTATTTCAGGGTTATAATAGTCTTTATCACTCTAATTTTTTAATTTTTCAACCCCAAAACGATGTCGTTTCGATGAACATTAGATAAAGTTATCTAAAGTAACATCGGAAACTTTTTTCCCTATATATATATATATATATAGGTAAAATGATTTCTGCAGCCACTTTACGTACAACAACGACAAATGTATGATTATGATTCCACACATTTAATGCTTTCATTCTTTGTATGGTTATGATTTCCCGCATTTAATGTTTTCAAGTATATATATGACAAGTATTTGAATGCTACACGTACAACAGCTGCAGAAATGTAAACACACACACACACACACACACACATATATATATATATATATATATATATATATAGGATAGGATATTGTGACACCCAAGTTATGTTACACCCATGTGACACCCAGTCAATCTCACCGTTAGATCGCTTATGTTGATCCAATATATTTATTTCCATATTTGTATAGTCATGATTTCCCAAATTTAATATTTTATATTTATTTCTACCTTTGTATGGTTATGATTTCCCATATTTAATTCTTTTACTTTAAATTTGGGAAATCATGACCATACAAAGATGAAAATAAATATAACCGTTGGATCAACATAAGTGATCTAACGGTGAGATTAAGTGGGTGTCACGTGGGTGTAACATAACTTGGGTGTCACAATATCCTATCTCTATGTATATTACAAGTGGACATCTCAAACCAATCCATACTAGCTGTAGAGATCGGAGACCGAGAAAAGGATCGCTGATGTCCTAATTCAAATGCATACTCATAGTATTGGTAGTTTGGTACAAGCTAGTCATTTAGGAACGGATATAAGGAAAATAGAAATTTCCTATGACGCCATTTGCACGAGGATTGGTTTCCATCAGGTCGTTATATGGTAGATATAATCTTTCATTTGCAGCTTCCTCCAATATCATATCTGACGAATCCCATTAATTCTGGTCCTGTAAGTCTTGGATTGTTCCGGAAACTGTAGGAAACCAATCAGTTAATGCTCTCACACTTCTAGATGAACCACTTGAGGGGAATTAAGGAATGAAAATATTAAATACTAACTAAATTCGGCTAAAGAATAGCATTGAAAAGTCGTTAGTAAATTATATGAATGTCATATTATATGTTGCCAAATAGTAACAAAGTCAATATATAATTATTGAGATTCTTCACGGCCCTCCAGAGAATTTGAATAGCTTCCTCACTTCATTGCCTTTTTTATATTTTTGGTAAATACTCAGACGATTATTAGTTTTGGACTCACCTTTCTTCAGAGAACTTGGAGAAGGAGCCAGATGTGGGGAAGGTACCGCAAAGATCATTGTTTGATAGGTCTCTACACAGAAGAGAATCAGAATAAGAGATTTGGAATCCTGAAAAATGAATTTGACTTCCTGAAAATTAACAATTGAGATTGTGATAAAATATATTTATATGGTTGAAATTGTTTCGGTTGATTTTCTAAGATCGATGTTATAATTCCGTAGCATATCTAAGTTCAGGAAAGCAAAATCATTGAAAAATATAGGATAGACTGACAGGATTTTGAGGTTTGGCAGTTTAGTGAGTTTCCTTGGTATTCTTCCTGTGAGCTTGTTGCTGTTGAGTCGCCTGCATCATTTCATTTGGTTAGGCTTGGTGAACGGCTCACTACTCAATTAATATTTAATTTACTGATGAGTGATTACTTTAACTCACAAGAATTTGATATTGGAGAGGTTGGAGAGGGTGGGAGGGATGGAGCCAGTGAGGTTATTATGGTAGAGACCCAAGCTAACCAGGTTCTTGAGGTCTCCAATTTCCTTTGGTATTGGACCCACCAAGTCATTCTTGTACAATTCTCTGCATAGTCAAACCAAATCTCATGTTCACTCTTTTGAATAACATAAAAAAACTCTCATTCATCATTCAACCAATCCATTAAATCAGCTCCATGCATTTAGTGATGTAAGACAGTTTCCAAAAAAAGAAATATAATAACTTTGCAACAGCCCTTACAGAAACTGAAGGCGATGGAGTCTCCCCAGCTCTGGAACCAAATGCCCAGATAGTTTTGCGTGCCCGAGGTCTCTGCATGAGTATGCATTATTAGACTTTGCGGTTCAAGAACTAAAGTAAAAGAGAAAAGGAACTAGTGTAACTGTGACTGTATCCAGTATCTAAGAATTAATGGTCAAAAGTCATTTCAACAAATAATACTAATCAAACAATTAGTTAAGAGGTACTTGTCCTAATAACTTATGGGGGACATATGGAGAAGCGTCCTTGACACTTGAGTGACACAACAGTACACGGCCCTCCCAAGTTCAAACTCAAATAAGATTACAGTCTAATCAGTAATCAGTAATCATAATCTTCTTTTCTTCTTCTATTATATATTGCTGTGTGGCAGCATAAAGAAAATAATAATTACACTTGATTTGAGAAAATATTGGAAAATAAATAACAGAGAAAAAAGAAGAGATCAGAGGATAAGATGACGTGAATTACAGTCGGATAACCCGCTTATCATCATCACAGGTAACGTGAAACCATGTACATGGATCCACCAAAGTGGGATCCCAACTCTGTAGAACGTTATTTGGGTCTTTCACAGCTCTTCTGAACGCGTACAGAGCATCACCTGTTCATTTTCAACAAAGCAGAAAATTCTGAAAATATATTCTTCAAAATGACCTGATAGAATATATATAGATATATATATATATATATATATCAAAAGGGGTTTACCTTCGGAGTTTGCACTTGCAACAGCAAAAAGATCTGATAGGAGAAGAAAAATGGAAAGAACATGAAAGAGCGTGCTGGTCTCCATGTACTAGCGACCCTGATTGCAGAGAGAGACGAGAGTTGAGAGCCTTAACCCTCACACCGACAGACACCGACCGATGGTTCTATAACACGAACATGAACATGTACTAGAGTCGAGAGTTTCCTCTTTCTTCAATGCAATTATGCTTTTGGAATGGAAATCACAATTTTGTATGGGGAATTTTATAGAGCCCGTAAATGGAGTTTCTCCCACTGTTGACACACAAATAGCAATGCAATCCTACGTGTAAATTTCACTACACTTTCTTTAAATAATGTTCAAACATACATACAAATGTTTCCCTTATGTATCCACAACTATTAAATTGTATGTGTAAGTATATGTATCTATACATAGCAAAGTTCGATTTTTGACTATTGTGTCCCTTATTATATTAAAAATCATTATTTTGTTCTCTTTTTAAATTATTTAAAAAAATTGACATTTTTCCCATACATAAAATTAATCTGCTGAAGTTTGATCATTGACTGGATCTCATACTCGAGTACGTAACCTACATACTCGAGTAAATCTCTTGGGATGAAGCAGACTGGATGTGTTATATGTTTATACTCGAGTATGTCACAAGATACTCGAGTACTAAGGTCTTGTACTCGAGTAACTTACGGTCCGAAGCCCTTATCTCAAAATTATATATCAATCTGTTTTTGTTTGACTGTTGACTGAATCAAACAATCGATTATATAAGAGCCACTTAATTGATTAAGTGTCGGTATGATAAGGTAATCTTATTTAATCAATTAACTTTGCCCATGTCAAACTGTTTGATTGTTAAGTTACTCCGCAGGTGTAATCAATTAACTTATGACTTTGGTGTCCGAATCAGGTATTACTCCCGTTGAGTTTAAGGTGGCACAAAATTTTGGTACTTTTAACATAAAACGTGTCTGAATCAGGTTTTTTTTTATTCCACATGACTTTTCTAGATCTATGCGTTGACAAATTCATGAGGGGATTTGGTCAAAAAAATTTCCAAAAAAATAATGCTTCTTTGTACCTTGTTTGACATATTTTTATCTTTGTGAATGATGTTATTTAAATTTTCTTTTTAACACTAACAAATAATACTCGAGTATACAACTTGAATACTTGAGTATCTACTGTTTTACGAAAAATACTCGAATATATTGTGCTCTACTTGAGAATATAACTCGGTCAACGGTCATACAATGGCAGATGAGTGAAATATTTTGATACAGATGCAAAACGTTAATATTTATTTTAATTATGGATAAAAGGGTAAAAAGGCCGCAAAATTCTACAAATTTTACACTTATCATAGCCATGTGCATCTTTATTCTTTCCCTTCATTTTTCTACAACTTGGGGTTTAATTACAGTTGCAACCCTTGAGATGAGTGGGAAAAAATGTGTCAATAAAAACACTATTATATTTATATCTTCTCGTTTTTTTATTTAAGAAAAAATTTATTTGTACCTATTCTCGTTCTCAATTATGCAAGTTTTTGTTTGAACTTTTATTTACGTTTCTCGATAAGTTTTTACTCACTTCAGATAAAATTTATAATTTATAATTTTTTGATTAAAGTGTCTCTAGAGTCTACAATGCTTCCTCGTGACCAGCTTAATTAAAATAGAATGTATCTTTTTAATTACTAAAAAATAAAATAAAATAGAATGTATCAATTTAAAAAAGTGAACTTGAAGCTTAATTACGAAGTGTACACAGCTTAATCATTATTCTATTTCATTCCCTCTTTCATCCTTAATTTATATAAAATCCTCCTTGATTTTCATATGCAAATTCATTTTTAGTTGGATAAAGTCAAATATATTTTTTGCTAGCGATTTGGTTAAAATACAAGTTTCCGTGTAGATTGTACATATAATGTGTGGGTAAATAATATTAGATGGGTCTCTGACCATAAACACTATATTAACCTTTTTTTGTGTGTGGGTACAAGTATATCAGCCTTTTAATATGCATGTGTAGACATAGCGAGACTTGTAAGAAGAGGTACAAGTATAATGTGTATACAAAGTTACAAACAATCTGTCTGGCATACCTGTATCGTTTTACTCAATTAATCCACATACCTAACTAAATTGTTCTTCTTACTTTATCTGTTTTCATTTGAAAACTAAAGAATAATTAATTATGCTTAGATTCGTTGATGGGTGGTGCAATTTCAAAGCAAAAGAATAATTGTTTGGTTCTTCCAGCCTTTTTGTTTTCTATTATTAGAAAAAATTATCCGCGCCAAAAATTGAAGAGCACTGATGAATAATAATCATACTTAAAACTCCAATTTATGATAAAGATACTGTTTAATTAGTTTTTGTTTGGTCATCCATAGTTTTTGTTCGAGAAGTATATAAACTATTATTGATGAGTCTTTATTTAACAGTTTAAATTTTTGAATTGAATTGGTTCTTTATATAGTATGAGTTGCCTCCACTTTCTCGTATAAAATCATTGATAAGACTTCATTTAACAACTTAAATTTTTAGATTAAATTAGTTGTTTACAGTTTTAATCTTCATGATTGGACAAGTAAAAGTAGCACATTAGGAATCCAGAAAGTGAATACTTTCTACTTTGTGTTTAGCCATTCCATGTGAAATACTCGTCTTTTAATGCATGACAATGGGTCCAAGTCCAACACTTTGGTTTTGACTTGGGACGGCTCAATGAGTTAAATTGCTTGACAGCATTAGGCATGCTGGTTTGTTCTCTTTCAAATTACTGTACGTTGTCTTCCTTCAATCATCTTTTTTGGTAGTGGGAGGGACACTAACAGCATGAAAGAGACCCCTTTTGTAATCTTAGACAGATAATGCTATGATCTCCCTCATTAAAAGAAGTGACTTGGAGATTTCAGACTTAGACCGCACCACTGTCGTTGTCTCTCATTATTCATGTTAACTCCTTTTCACTCTTACCATACATAAAATAGGGAAAAAGTTATTACAAACCAAAAAGCCATCTTTATATATCTTCCTTTCTTCAGCTTCTTCCAATTGTTCCAAGAGGAAAAAACTTTCCATACGGAAAATTGAGTGTATAATCAACACCTCACGTGTAAAAGAAATTATTTTGGTTGCTTGACCTTTGACCACCAATATATTCAAATTTCCCACGCCCCCACCCACTCATTGTTTTTAAATTAAAGAAAAGGCAAAATTACCAGAAAAAAAAAAACTTTGAATTATGCTTGGAAAGTATAGATTGAGTTGTAGAAAAGCAATGGCCGAAAACAAAACGTAGATATGCATGAGGTTGGACTTGACATTCACATAAAAATGTAAAGGAAAATGTTAGTATAACTTGAGCTGATCTCCATTAGATGTATAAAAATGAAGTGAAGTAATTTGATACATGAGAGAAGTTATTCTATGTTACTATAGTTTTCAAAAGTTTTTATTTAATTAAAAGAATGAACTTACTAGCAAACTACTTCCACAATCAATTTATATAGACAAAAACTTCAAAGAATTTAAGATAATATAAGGAACATCTTTTAAGAATTAAATTATACATTTACTTAGAGAAGGGAGGTGTGAGCCTGTAATTTGATGGGGCTGGACAGCACCATGATAAGTTGGGCAAAAGGAGGACTATTATAAAAGGATAATTTTTAGTTTGAATAAAGGCTTACAAAGTTGACATTCAAGGACCCAAATTCCCGCCACACTTTCTTTTAAATTCATTCCAACGCTTTATTGAAAGTGACTTTTTGTTAGTTATCGAGGGCTATGCAATTTAGGCATTTGAATATCATCATCGTGCTCTCATTGACATTGGATTTAATTTAATTTAATTTTGTTGACAAATGCAAGAGAGTAACACTTTTGAAGCTCCTGCACTCCAAAGAGTATAAACCATTGACGTTGTTCATTTCTTGATAGGTCAAGGAGAAAAAAAGAATGTAAAAAAAAAAATCAGAATAAGAATATGTATGTGATCACAAAGAGATATACTAACCTCTTAACATATATATTAGTTATGGTTGACAAAACGCACAAAACGAGTCGGGATAGGGTTGGCTCGAAAAAAAAATGAGACAGAAAATCAAACCCAAGTCGGGTTAGGGTTGGCTTGAAAAAATAGCTAGCGAGTTGGCTCACGGGTTGGCTCAAAAATTGCTCGTGGGTTGGCTCGTTTTCAGCCTATTTAAATGAACATGTAGTATTAATGCACCAGCTATGTGGCTTCCATCAGCTTAAACAAAGGGTTACAAAATGAGAAATAAAAGCAAAATGTTCTAATTTCGAATTTTCTTCACAACAAATTTGCACCAACATCAAGAAACAATCAGAACCACTTGCTACAAAGTGAGCAAGATATTTGAACCAAACAGAGCCAGCACAACATAACAATATAAAAATGACAGTGATGTGAGAAGATTATGGACTTAGGTTAAGAGATGGAAGAAAGACGATGACAACATGTGTGAGTTTTGTTCAATTTTGTATATTATATTTTGTATTTTTTTATATATAAAAAAAAACTCAACCTGCGAACTGACTCGTTTGACTCGCGGGTTGACTCGCTTTTTCCCTAACCTAGCTCGGGTCGGGTCGGCAGGTTATTTTTGCCAATCCAACTCAACTCATTTTTGACCGATTACCAGCGCACCCGAATATTAGTTGACAAGGCTTGGTAAAATGAATGTTTGTCAAGTTGAAGATTCCGAGGTGATCAAATTTTTGTCCAATTGACGAAAGTTAGTACGTGGATCCAATAATTCAACGGTCAAATAGTGTTCCCTCCATAGAAAAAGCATGAATGACAATGCCCTTGTCCAAGTGCTTGTATATTAACTAAAAGCAGGGAAGTATTAAGGCAAACCACTCATGCGCACCTCATCTCCACTGTACGAGCAAGTAGAACATATAGTAGTTAGAATCTAGAAATCTTGACTCAATCACGGGCCACTTGACCCTTTTATCGGTGTGTAAAACAGAGTTTTGCTTAGAAACTCTCAAGCAGAGAAACTATGCCTTTCGGTACGAGATTTTGGAAAATAAAATAAAAAATAAAATAAATCTTCTTAACAAAATATTCATATGATGTGCTTGTACCGAATTCAATGTGATATCTTAATCCAAAACATTAAGTTTATGGGTTAAGATTTATATTAGTGGGTTAACTATAAAACTCAAACCACAATAAATGAACTCAACATTATATTTTAACTAAAAATCTTAACATTAAATTTATAGGTACTTTCAGTTATATAGTTCTAAGTTAATTTGTTCCTAAATAATGTGTGACTGAATTATTTATCACCGATGTTTGCATTTCTAACAAGTGAACACTAACAAATAACATGAACTGAACTTGAAAGTTGTAAAGAAATGGTCAAAAAGTGGATAAACAAACTTTGAACTGCACGGAGGCTGATAAAAAATGGAAGTGCAAAGATAATATGATCAGAATAATGAAAGATATTTGGTTATGATGTCTGGACCCATTTTTCTTGTTTGGCCGAATTCCTTTTATAGACTTGAAGCTTCCAAATTCTGGCTCTGCCCACATTTTGATGACACAGTTGCCATTCTTCTACTAAAACAAGTTGTCACCTTTCAATTTTTCAAACCGTGTATGAGGCCATTCTCCTTGGCCCATTATGTGTAGCATCTGCTTGCAGGTCACGGGTTCAATCCAATAAATTGTTATTGAGGTCAAGCAAATTCCAGATAACCTTTCTAAACTTAATAATGCTCAAATTGGGCACATTATTTGGGCAGTGTGGAAAAGGCGAATAAAAAAGTAAATCCCATCTTCACAATTAAGGAGGTTGAAACTAGCAATTTGGAATTTCCAGTGGCTAATCATAGATGCTTAAGGTCAAGGGGCACCAGTTCCTCCATTGTTGTTTTTAGCAAGGGACGAGTAAGATGCTTACACCTTATAGGGTGAGCCAAATTGATCTTTGCTACTTCACCGCTTAGGCTTAATTGAATCGGACAACAGCCACCTCCACCTACGGGAGCCTTTCTTATGCACTTGTAGAGTTATAGTTGACCCATTGTATATATGATCCACTCCTTCATTCAAGAAGTTCAGAGATAACTAGAGTTATGACCTAATAAGTATGGTTCAATTATTGAAAGAATTAGTGATTTGAAATATAATAAATTATGATCAAATCCAAGTCCCAATAAAGCAGCAAATATGATTGTGATTTGTTTGACAAGAAAAGGAAAATAACACATTTGGCATAATTTGAGATCTAAGATTTGCGACGTGTTTTGAATGACTTAAATGTAATTATTTATGTATTTTTGAAAGTTAGCTACCGTTATATTTATGTTAGGAATTTTCCTTATTTTTAGGGTTTTAGATTTTTGAATTTTGGATCAATTTGTAATTAGTCTATAAATAGTACTTATGACCCTTATTCTAAGAGTTGAATTTTGTTAGTTTGTTAATAGAAATTGAGAACCAGAGAGTTACTCTCTTGTGAAAATTCTAACTTTTTGTTTAGCCACTTTTCTATGCGTTTTCCGCATCATTTGGCATCAGAGCACTAGGTTGCCTTCAACCAATGGCTGAACAGAATTGTAGATGTCATCGACGGCGTAGTCGTGAAGGCAAGGGACGTGGATTCGTTCCTAAAGAAGACAGATAACTGTGTCATATAGACCCGCATAACATAGTAAATGAAGAGCTCGAAAGGAGGATTCAATATTTGAAGCGACAACTTGTGGAGGCGTAGAGCATGAAAATTCAATTTTTGGAGCGAGCGGGCGCAGAGCAGGAAAATTCAAGATTTGGAGCAACAACTCGTGCGGGCCCATACCAAGAAAATCCAAATTTTGAAGTGACAACTTCTAAAGGCACAAAGCAAAAATCCAACATGTGGAGCGGCGACTTCCGGGGACAAAGTTGGGCATTCAATTCGAAGAATAAATGAAATTATAGGACGCATCTGATGACACGACGTCAGTCCCTTGGGGATTCTAAACCAGTGACAGAATTGAGAAGTCTAATCTAAAATTCAGTCCACTTTTCAAGATATCGAGATGCAAATCAACATTTTTGACTTTGATGTCTATGATCATAACACAGTTTATGATGATTATTCGATTGATGATGATTATCCATCTTATGATGAACATTTAGTTTATGATAATAATCCAGTTTATGATAAATCTGATGGAGAATCAGATTATGAAGATTTAATAGAGGAAGATTTATCATTTGTGTTTTTATCTAAAGAAATTGATAGCAGTGAATATGAAGCAGATTCGAGGACGAATATTTTCCTAGGAAGGGAGAGCGATGCACTTACAGTTGACCCATTGTACATGGTCTAACCATTGATTCAAAATATCATACTCAAGTTGTGAACCAATAAGGATGGTCCAATTGTTGAAAGAAGTAGTGATTTGAAATATAACAAATTACGATTAAATTCAAATCCAATTAAAGCAGCAGATATGATTGTGATTTATTTGGCAAAAAATGGAAAGCAACACATTTGACATGATTTGATATCTAAGATTTGAGACGTAAAATTTTGGAAGTTAGTTACCGTTATATCTATGTTAGAAATTTTCTTATTTTTAGGATTTTAGATTTTTGAATTGTGGATCAATTTGTAATTAGTCTATAAATGAGTACTGATAACCCTTATTCTAGAAGTTGAATTTTGTTATTTTGTTAAGGGTTTAGTGTTTGTCATTTTAAATGATATAAGTTATATCATTTTAGGAGAGAGAGAGACACCGAAAAATGAAAATCATGATAGAGAGAAAGTGTGTGATTTTTTTAATTTAAAATTTAAATATATTTTTTTTCTGTGTCTGTCTCTTTCTTAAAAGGACAGAGTGTTATGTCATTTAAAATGACAAACACTTTTTTCTTTTGTTAATCGAAATTGAGAACCAGAAATTCACTCTTTTTAAAAATTCTATCTTTTTATTTAGCCATTTTTCCATGTGCTATCGGCATCACTTTGCTACAAAAACTGACTTCTCTTTTTTCCCATGCTTACCTTCTTTATCTAATTTAAGGGTTTTATAAGAGTTATGTTGTAGGAAAAGAGATTGTGTAATGTTATAGAGATTCGTTTTGCGTGCCTTAACTTTTTTAAATTTTTTTTGTTTTAAAAAGTGCGGGTCTCACAAAATGTTGTGTGTGTAGGAAATTTGATGGTGTCATGTTAAAGGACAAACTACAGTCCCCTAATTTAATATAGGGATTTATAAATATAATGTTACAAAAAAATCTCTACATCATGTCATAGAAACACCAAAAGTGAGCCCCGCCATTAGTTTTTCAAAAAAACAAAAAAAAACAAACATCACATACATCTGCTGAAAAACATCTCACTTTCCTATGAGATGAGGGATTGAACGCCCTTTAATATAATTGGTCCACCTCAGTCGTATTCGTTTTTGTAAACATCTATTCTTAATTATATACAAAGGCTAAGATGTATCGTAAAGTTTGTTGGCGAAGAAAAAAAAATAATTGCTGATAATATTAGTTAATCACTTATAATTTATAGAATATAATGCAGTAAAAATAATGAAAAAGTGTTTATCATTTTAAATGACATAAAGTTATATCATTTTAACAGATAGATAGACACAAAATTATTTTTTTATTTAAAATTTAAATTAAAAAAAATCACTCACTTTCTCTCTCCCATGATTTCTATTTTTTTGTATCTGTCTCTCTCCTAAAATGATATAACTTATGTCATTTAAAATGACAAACACAAACCAAAAAATAAATTACATACATCATGTCCACTATATAAAAGATAACATTTATAAGGTGTTTAAACTTTAACGCATTTGTAACAAAAAAACGTATGGAGTCGTCGTAAATTTTTTAAATGGAATAAAATTAAAATAATTTTTTATTTTTTTTTTCAATTTTTTTTTGAATGGAATAAAATCACTCCAAACTGGGTTTTGAGTATTCATAAATACTTTGGTCAATAAGCCCAAGAAGTACATACCAAGGACCCACCAGTCATCGAAATTTGACAGAAGCACGAAAGATCACCTTTTCTTTTCTCTTTTGTTTTTTTTAAAAAAAAATAAAGGCAAGTATACAAAAATCTGTTTGACTTTTTTATTCTTAAATCTGTTTTATAGAATAGTTATGAAAATAAGTATTTTATATATATATTTTTATTTTGAAAGTTAAAAATTAAAACAAAAAATAAAAACAATTCAAACATGTTCTCTAAATTTAATTAAAAAAAAAACAGTTACAATTTTTAATTCTTTTTTTTTTACAAAACAAGCTTTATCAAATAGATTTTTTGTTTGTTCTGAAAACCAAAAAATTATTTTTAGAACAATATTCAATCAGGGCGATAGTGTTCGAGTATTACCTTTTTGTATGTTACATGATCAAATGAATTTGTGGGAGCTACTGTATATAATTTACAGGTGAAAGTGCCCTAAAAGAACTTTAGCTGTCCAAAAAGTTTTGTTTAAAAAAGAGGCAACAGTAGAAATGTAGCATGGAATTATGCATACACTTGGAAAATCGTTCTAGACCTCAGCTAACTTCAATAGCATTTGTGTTTGTTTTGTTGTGCTATTGCTGTTAATAGCAACACAATACTTTGATACAAGATAACACATCTTATTTAAGGAGTTCAAGCGGAGCCCAAAAATGGATATTTTGAAACAGCATTTGAAACAAAAGGAGGTGAAATATAAGTTATCCATGATAAACGATAAATCATTTTTGCAATTCACACACACACACACAAAACATTTTTTTTAAAGAGAAATTCAAATATACAAAATACACACAGAGCCACAACTGTAATATGAAAATAAGAGATCGGGTACTCACCAAACAACTCAATCCAACTGTTTTATTATTTAATTTAAACAAGGTAACCCAGGCCGAAAAAAGCCATGCAGATCGTGGATACCAGCAATTCTCTTTCAAATATAATATTCACAAGACACGAGTGTATTGCAGCTATGTAACAGATGTACAACTAGATAATAAATTCCAGATCAATTTCAACAGCAAAAAGTAACTAGCACTCTTCTCTTTGTCCCATGCACATGTAACAGCTAATTTTTAACGAACTTAACAAGGAATAAAGCACATACGAAGTTACTACTTGCAGACAATGCAAGTCAAGATGCCAGTAACAAGAATTATCATACTATCCAGACAAGGCAAAACTCTCCTGCGTCCAGTGTGGTGGATCCATCACAGCACAGGGATCTGATTTCTCAAAATCAGCAACCTACACACACATGAACATAACAGCAATGACATTAAGTTGCAATTAGACATTTATATCAGTGATATTCATGCCAGAGACAGTCCAATGGAATAACTAGTACGATACTACCTTTTCGTGGCATTTAGGACAGTAGTGATATTTATGCCAGAGGCAGTCCATTGAAGGACAAAGAAAGCAAACTCCAAGCATCATTGGCATCAAGCATCCAACAAATGCTGCCAGACTGGGCTTTGATCTGTGTTTCAGGCAAAACACCATAAGAAAACAAAAGCCGGTCAAGTTTGATAAAACTTAAACAGAAATTCAAAATGGACGACCAACGGAATGATCTTCAACCTAATAGCCTAGGGTCCAGCCAGCTCCACTAATATTGGAAAACAGATTATGCACACAATTTTATTAAAATTGAGAAATTTGCAAAATGTTGCTCGTGATTATCAATCCCGATTGACTAGTTGTCAAAACAGTGCCTCTGTGTGTGTCTATGTAATTGAAAGTTAAAACAAACTCAACCAAGCCTTAAGTCTCCAGACTCAAGTGATTGTAGTCAGTCACTTGAAATCTTCTCACACACAAAGCCAATAATAGTCTTTGACAACCCTACCTAAATATGTAAAGGATGAATATGAATTTTGGCATATGCTTTCTTATCACATGTACACCTCAAACATGATGTTAATTGACATAACGAGTCACTTTAACCCACGCATGCATACTGATACAGCCAGTGACAGTGAGCACAAGATAAATAGACAAACAAAACCAACCAACTTTTAACTTGTTTGCAGAAGAAAAAGGTCAATCTTGATTCCTGATAATAATATAATAGACATATTGATTGCAGGTGAAGAGTCAAAAGTAGAATAATCAAGGTTAAACTACAAATTCAATACTGAAAAACTGTAAAAGTCAGCCTTGTATTTTGTTAAGAGTTACCAAGAGCAGTCTGAGCGGACCTCGTAGTATTTATTATTTATTGTTGAATAGAATACTACAGACACAGAAAGAATACACAATTATTTTTAATACGTTACAAGATTCACATCTCATCGTTTTAATTGATGAACACAAAATAAAAAATAGTAAATGAGAAATGATATATGGAAAATTAAAAAGGACAAGAAATATGAATGATTTGGGTTTGGGGTATGAGATGAGACATGGGTGGACTGGGCACTGCAGGTAGTAAATCGATAAATTAGTAGGGGCAATCGAGGAATAGTGAATAGTAATGAAATGAAATGAAATAAGAAACCTGACGGTAGTGAGAGCGGTGTTGCCGCAGTGAAGGCAATTAAAAGGAGCAGGAGTGTCCCTGTAAATGGTTTGCTGGATGGGGATACCCTTGGGATCGCCCACCACCGCGTTAGGAGGGATCACCCCCTTCTGATACGGGTTTTCGCCCCCGTAATACGGCACTGGCACTCCCATCACCACTTCTTCCCCCTTTTTCTCCATATTCTCTCTCTCTCTCTCTCTCCCTCCCTTCCTTTCCTCAAAATAATAAATCAATTCCAAAACGCGTTTCTTTTGCTTTTCTTCTTACATCGCCTCTTCTTCCTTGTACTTTCCTTACGGACCAAAATACCCCTCCTTCCTCTTAATTTCTTATTCAGTAAATGCCGTTCAACTTCAATGTTTGAAAATAATTTATAAGAAACCATTTCTCGTCAAATGAAAACGGCCGCAACTTCCAGATTCTCTTTAGGATGTTTGGTAGAGGAATTTTTTTTTTTAAACTAAGTAAATATAATTAGTGGGGAAATGGTTGTAAATTAAAATAAGTGGGGAAATTTTATAAATGTTGTTTGGTCGACCGAAATATTATCAGAAAAATTATGTAAAATTTACTGAGACTATGTTTGGTTGAAAGTAAAAGATTGATGGGGAAATATGAATTTTTTTTGAAAATACCCCTCAATATTGAAATAGACACGGTGGCAAATGGACGTTGGACACGTTCTTCTTCCGTTCTTCATTTATGTGTTTCCGTGTGTTGGTCGTTTGGTTGATTGATTTTTTTTTTATCACACACCAGGGAATCTGCAGAAATATGAGTACCCAACTAAGGCTACAAAGAAGGGTAGGAGGAAACAGAGCTGCACACTTTTTATATACGGTAACAGCTTTGAAAATTCCCACTTCCTCTTCTGCCTTGTTCCCTTTTATGTGTGGGAAAGCATTTTGTTGTGTTACTCTAATAAATTGAAATTCCAATTTGTGCATGCAGCTATGGAAGGGCTAGAGAACATGGCATTCGTTGCCAACGCAGTGAGCCTTGTAACTTATTTCTTTGGTTACATGAATTTCAGCTTAACAAAATCTGCTACAACTCTGACCAACTATTCGGAACTGCATTTTTACTAGCACTCCTTGGCAGACTGATCTCTGATACCTATCTGTCAAGGTTCAAGACTTGTGTTCTATTTGCATGCATATAGAATTGTTGGTGAGTTGAATTAATTTCTCTTACGAGTGCATTTCCATAATTCCATGGATCTGTTTAGGAGAGAAGAGCACAACGACATTTCCATCTGTCTCAACCAGCTAGACAATACGGACCACGAGTATTAGAGGAGAGAGGTATCTGGAGAGGGGCAAATGCGTGAGGTTTTCAAGGTTCTCTTCTTTGAATTTGATATATATTGATTCTTTGCGCTTTGTTAAAAATTATTTTAATCTAAAAATTTAAGGTTTAAGTGAGATTTAATTAATTATTTTATATTTTTATATCTCTTTAATATACCCACTCACATAAGAGCTATTTGAGCTTGAAGTATATATATGACACATCCATTTTTTTTGTCTACCTATGATAAGAACCAATTTTAACCCAAAACTTTGAGGGGTTAGTGAGGATATATTAATTATTTTATTTCCTTTGTATCTTTTTAATACATCCCCTCATGCAAGAATTCACTTAGTTTGAAGCGTAAATATGACACATGTCCATTTTTGTTTGTCTATCTTATGTTGCATAGGCTCATTTTTGGTTTACCTTGTTTGTGATTTTCTTGATTTTACTTGAAAGTGAGGGTGGTGAAGATCGTAGTTACGACCTCGTGGTCATTCCAATTCTGATACCATGATAAATGCTATTTTTTCCCTAGTAAATATGATAAATGCTACTTTAACCATAACTTTAAGGTATTGGATGAGACTTAATTAATATTGATACACAAGCTAATCAAGCGGTGGAAAAGGAAGTTGAAACTGCTATAGCAACACAGGTAACTGCTACAGCAACTAAAAAAAATAAGCAACAGGAACCAAGCATAGCTGAAAGGAAAGCTGTAAGGGAAAGAAGGAAGCCACATAGATTTAGATATGACTTGTATTAGATGATGACGTGTAATTAGGAACAGTAATAAAGCATGTGAATGTTAGTAGATTCGGTGGTTACATAGGAAATAAAAGGAAAAGTGGAACTACACAAGGGGCATGTATTCAGTTAGTCTTGAAATAAAGAAATTATTTTCTTACCTTTCTCTGTTTCTCTATCTTCTCTCCCCTTTTCTTTCTCAGTTGCATCTCTATTCTACCAATTTGGTGCTTTCATCATTGAACCATTCCACCTGAAACTCGCTCTTGTTCCCTTGATGATCGATTGACACCACACAGGCTGAGGTAGAAGTGTTAAAAGAACAGATGACCAAACGCTTCCAAGAACTGACTTGTAAATTGGATGCTATTTTTGACAACTATAGGGAGCGACAACCATCTCCTAGTGGGTCATCCCACCAACCATCCTCAATGCCGAAAGATCATGTCGCTGCAAAAAATTTGCGCCTCAAAGTCTCACGTTATGATGGATCCAGCGACCCACAAGGTTGGATTTTCAAAATTAATCAATTTCTCGAATTCTATGATATAGATGATGCACAAAGATTGAAGATTGCTCCATTTTATTTTGAGGGAAAGGCATTGGCCTGGTTTCAATGGTTGAATAAAAATTCCAAAATTGATTCATGGCCACAATTTCTCACTGCTCTGCAAGTGCGATCTGGTCCTTCTGACATGGAAGATTATCAAGGTAAGCTATCCAAGTTGATGCAAACAGGGACGGTACTGGAATACCAAGAAGCCTTTGAACAACTCTCCAACCAGGTAGATGGACTCTCCAAATTGTTTCTTGTGAGTTGTTTTATCTCAGGGTTAAAGCCAGAAATTAAACATGATGTTTCTGCCTTCCGTCCTTCTTCTCCGACACATGCAATATCCTTAGCCAAAATTCAGGAATCCAAGTTACAGCTTAAAAATAACCCACCAAAACTACACTCACCTTACCCTCCATTATTGCCCACACCCCAATTGCGAAATACTCAGAATACAAACCTTCCTAAGACCACTGCTACAAACCCCAATACCAATCACGCCAAACCTATTACCCAACGCCTTACTCAAAGTCAAATTCACGAACGTAGGGAGAAGAATTTGTGTTTTACTTGTTGTGACAAGTATTTTTTTGGGCATAAGTGCAAAGCGTCAGTTCATATTTTGATAATGCCTGATGAAGATAGTTTAGAAGAAGGAATATTGGCCGAAGATAACAAACCAGCAGCAAATTCTGAACAAGATTTTAGTGGTATGGAAGTGTCCACGCCCCAAATTAGCTTTCATGCTTTGGCTGGTGTAGTGGTACCTCAGACACTCAGATTCAGAAGCTACATTGGCAAGTCAGAATTCTCATTGCTAGTGGATGGGGGAAGCACACATAACTTCCTTCAACCAAAGGTTGTCTTTCATCTTGACTTACCAATTATCACTGACAAGAGGTTTGAAGTAATGGTGGGGAATGGACAAATCTTGCAATGCGAAGGATTTTGTCCAGCAGTACCAGTTAAGATTCAACAACATATTTTTTTGGTGGATTTCTATATTTTACTAATCCAAGGGGCTGATATGGTTCTTGGAGTTTAATGGTTACAAGGGTTGGGACCAGTCACACTGGATTATAGCAAGTTGACTATGGAATTTCTTTGCAACAGTGGAGTTATAAAGCTACAGGGGGAGTTTCATGCGGGTCCAATTTCATTGAATCAATTTAGGCGCCTTCAACAGACAGGGCAAGTTGCTTCATTATTCCAATTGAAAATGTTGGATTCCTCTGTTGACTCAACTCCCACAGAAGTCATACCTCAGCAGCATCAGTTTTTTATAAAGAAAAGCAAATGCTCTTTTGCTCAGAAAGAGGTTGAATACCTTGGGCATGTTGTCTCCAATGTGGGTGTGAGTATGGACCCTAATAAAGTAAAAGCCATGTTAGATTGGCCTGTTCCCAGGAACATTAAGCAATTGTGTGGTTTCCTTGGCCTAACGGGTTATTATCGCAAATTTGTGCAAGGATATGCTAGCATTGCAGCACCCCTCACTGAGTTACTCAAGAGAGATGCTTTCCTATGGTGTAATGCTTCCCAATCATCTTTTGACAATCTCAAGGTGGCTATGACATCTGCTCCAGTCTTAGCTTTACCTAACTTTGATCAAGATTTCATAATTGAGACTGATGCTTCAAATTTGGGTGTTGGTGCTGTATTACTTCAAGCAGATCACCTTTTGGCATATTTCAGCAAAAATTTACCACTTAGAATGCAAAGGGCTGCAACATATGTCAGGGAGCTTTATGCAATCACCGAGGCCGTGAAGAAATGGAGACAATACTTGTTAGGAAGAAGGTTCTTGATTAGAACAGACCAGAAAAGTTTAAAGGCATTATTAGACCAAGTAGTTCAAACCCCTGAGCAGCAATATTATCTCTCCAAATTGCTTGGTTTCCAATACTCTATTGTGTACAAGCCAGGCAAGGATAATCGTGTTGCAGATGCATTATCAAGACAACCAGATGTCATGAGTTTTATGTCTCTCTCAATCAACCAGTATGATTTTCTTACAGCTCTTAAGCAGGAAAATCTGAATTCTGAATTATTTAAGGAAAAATATAAAGCATTGCAGTCAGACCCAACTTCACATCCAAAATTACAAATCCGTGATGGTTTACTATTGAAGAATGGTAAATTGCTCATTGACCCTTCTTCACCTTTAATTCCTTAGATTTTGGTGGAGTGTCACTCAACATTGGCTAGTGGCCATTTTGGTGTTCAAAAAACATCTGCACGTGTCTCTACAAGCTTCATTTGGTCTCATATGCAACAAGACATCAAAAAAGTTGTTAACTCTTGTTTGACTTGCCAACAAGTTAAAGTTCCAATGCAATCCCCTGCAGGACTTCTTCAGCCAATTCCTATACCTGAGAGAGTTTGGGAAGATCTTTCAATGGATTTCATTATAGGATTGACCAATTCTTTTGGTTATACTACAATTTAGTAGTTGTTGATAGATTGTCGAAGATGGCACATTTTGGGTTGTTATCTAAGAAGTAGGATGCTGTTAAGGTAGCCACTATTTTCACTCATATGGTTTGCAGGCTTCATGGCATCCCAAGGTCCATAATCTCGGATAGGGATCCTATTTTTTTGAGCAAATTTTGGGTGGAGCTTTTTGCTTTGAGTGGCACAAGTTTGAAGAGGTCTACTGCCTATCACCCACAATCAGATGGTCAATCTGAAGTGGTGAACAGAGTGCTTGAACAATATTTGAGATGTTTTGTGGCTGACTCTCCTAAGCATTGGTCCAAGCTGTTACCATGGGCAGAGTTATGTTATAGCACTGCATTTCACTCTGCAGCAGGCATGGCTCCTTTCAAGGTGGTATATGGTCGTGATCCTCCCTCTCTTTTGGATTATGTTCTTACCACAGCCACAATTCCAGAGGTTGACTCCCTACTTACTGAGCGACAACTATTACTCCAGCAACTAAGGATCAATCTAGAGAAAGCTCAATGTCATATGAAAACTTATGCAGATGTGCATCGACATGATGTTCAGTATAAGGCAGGTGACCTTGTGTGGGTTCGCCTTCGTCCTTATAAACAACAATCAGTGGCTCTTCGTAGCTCCCACAAGCTTAGTCGTCGATACTTTGGACCCTTTCCTATTGAGCGAAGGGTAGGTAAAGTAGCTTACAAACTCACTCTGCCATCAGCTGCAAAAATTCACAATACATTTCATGTCTCTCTTTTAAAACCATTTCGAGGAGACCATGATACACCTCCTTTTCCGTTACCAGAGATATTTACTTCTGGTTTACCAGTTCTTCAACCCCAACAGGTGCTTGCTTTCCGGAGGAATGTTGCAGGACTTGAAGAAATTCAAGTGTTATGGGAGGGAATGCCACTAGAACTGTCCACGTGGGAACCATTACATGAGTTCCAGCAGCAGTTTCCACATTTGAACCTTGAGGACAAGGTTATTTTTAATGGTGGGGGTATTGATACACAAGCTAATCAAGCGGTGGAAAAGGAAGTTGAAACTGCTATAGCAACACAGGTAACTGCAATAGCAACTAAAGAAAATAAGCAACAGGAACCAAGCTTAGCTGAAAGGAAAGCTGTAAGGGAAAGAAGGAAGCCACGTAGATTTAGAGATGACTTGTATTAGATGATGACGTGTAATTAGGAACACTAATAAAGCATGTGAATGTTAGTAAAGTCGGTGGTTACATAGGAAATAAAAGGAAAAGTGGAACTACACAAGGGGCATGTATTCAGTTAGTCTTGAAATAAAGAAATTCTTTTCTCACCTTTCTCTGTTTCTCTATCTTCTCTCCCCTTTTCTTTCTCAGTTGCATCTCTATTCTACCATACGACCTCGTGGTCATTTCAATTCTGATACCATGATAAATGCTATTTTTTCCCTAGTAAATATGATAAATGCTACTTTAACCATAACTTTAAGGTATTAGATGAGACTTAATTAATATTGTTGTATCTTTTGTATCTCTCTAACATATTTTTTTTAGATGTTGGAGAAGGAATACAACCATAAGATTCCAGTCTAGCTATATTTCTAAAGTGCACCGGACGTGTGAGGTTTCTTTGATATCTATAATGTATGATAGTCCTATATTTTTAATTAATAAATTATATAATTGAGATTTGTTCAATACCAATATAACAGTTAGTAATATTGCCAACTGATCAAACACGTCGTATTTTATTTTCAAAATATTAGGGGGATCATAGCACGATAAAGATAAGTTTGCATCGTGTGGGTACAGGTTAAAGTTCTACCGTGCATCACTGTTTCCTCTGGATTATTATGTTGTATAAAATGTTAAGAGTTGAGCATTATGCAAAGATGGGAGGCATTATTGTATTTTGAATTTAACATTTGACTGTCAGGTAATTATAGTAAAAATAATTTGCGAAGGAAGATAGAATTTGCAGGAATAGTTTTGGTATAAAGAGTAGGAAGCGCATGGGAATGGAGGAGAGAGAGAGAGATAAGAGTGGGGGCATTATAGAGGCATTGCTGTCAGATGACCCCGCAAGAGTTCAGAAAAGATTCCACAAACAGAATAAGTGCAGACGGATGTGCATTGGGCCTCCCCGCTACGCATTAGCATTTTGTGATTCAATTCTCAACCCCTCACTTCATCTCCTTTTTAACAATAGTTTTCTAAAATCTATAGCCTCCTAGTCATGAGCGCTTTGCCATCTCGTGAGTGAAGTTTCAATTCAAATTACTTTAACAATCAAGATGCACCTTTACACAAAATATTCTTTCTTTTTCTTTTTTATTTTTCCCTCCTATCCTGATTGTCCCATGTATTTTCTCTCTCAGTCACTCCCCGATTTTTGTTGTGTTGTGTGTTTCTCAAGTTCACCTTTTAGTTGCCACCAGCCACAGCAGCAGCAGCCCCAATACATTCGGCCATGCTGGTGTCCGTTTCTGTGCGTCCCACTCTTCTACTTTCTTATTCTCACACCCCTAAAATTCTTTTTCTCTTTCTTCAATATATTTCTGCATCACTTCACTGCACCTCAATTCCATCCTATGTTATTATATATATATATATATAATTTCTTATTCAATCAGTATCGAACTTTAAATTTTTACACAGTATTTTACCATTGGAAGTTGAACGGATTACTACTATTGCTTGCTTAATTAGCATATCGTTATAACTTTATGTTAGTATATTACTAGAGAGAAAGAAAGCAGCGAGCTGGGTGTTGTGGTAGTATTATATATAATAATATAGTACTCCATTCTCTTTGTTGTTTTAATAATATATACTGTTTTTTTTTTTGGAAACAGTATAATAATATATACTGTTGAAAGAGCAAGTAAAGACGAGAAACGGTTTCAGGAAAGTCCTGGCATTCTTTTCGGCATTCGCGATTCTACCTCCGCTTTTTATTTTTTTGGGATAATCTCAAGGATTACCAATCCCATTATCTCTCTCTTGATAAATAGATTTTTCGATTTCAGATCTGGTTAGTCATATTCAAGCATATAAAATGTCATCATTTTTTTAATTACATTAATTATCAATCTTTATATAAAAAAAGGTAAAATATTTCTGCAGTTAATGCAGATAAGTTATCTGCATTTATTCCTAAAACGACTCGTTTTGGTATTAAAATCTTAAAAAATTATAAATATAAACACTGTTATAACATTAAAATAAATGAAAATTATAAAAGCACCATGATTTCTGCCCAAAACGACGTCGTATTGAGCTTACTGCAGATAACTTATCTACAATAATTGCAGAAAAAATGAACCCATAAAAAATTGTATTAAAAAAGAGCTATAGCGCATTAATCAACAAGATGAATAACTTTAAATAAAAACTATTTTATATTTTTTAAGAGCAGAAGTTTTTATTTCTAAAATAAAAAATGAGCATTCTTCATAAAAATAATTACTAAATAAGAAGTTGTAAATAAAAATAAATATTCAAATACATTATTATTATACTAATAAAAATTAGGCAGTATTATATTTACAAATTTTTTGTTTACAAATTCTTATAAATTACAGTCTTACCGGTAAAACATCTTGAATGAAATTTTACGGATAAGATATAATGTAATTTATAAATTTAATAAAAAAAATTGGTCAATAGAACCGTCTCAAAAACATTATATGTAATAATAAACAAGGCACAGTTGTTAAGAATTAGTTTTATAATATTGGGTTTAGGGTACCCTTATTAAAGATTAAAATAAAATAAACTTATTGTCAATTTAATTAAGGTATAAAAGTTATAGTTTTATAAATATCATATTTATTTATACTGTTGTTACAGTTATATTTAATTTTGGATTCATTTGTGAGCTAACAGTGCGGAACACGAGGCTCCCGGACAGCGCGTGAAGTTTGCGGCGAAAGTAGCAAAAGGAGAAGGACGCGTTTGGATGAACATTTTAAAAAATGACTTTTTATGTATTATTTTTTTAAAAGAACTTTTGATAAAAGGTGAAGTTATTTTATGTTTAGATGTATGATCTAAAAATTATTTTTACATAAAAAAAGTTGTATGGATGTTAAAATAAAAAAAAATACTTTTTATATATAAAATTACAATAAAGAAGAGATAAAATAGCATGGTCCTGTGATAAAGAGAAATAAAATAGGTATGATAGGATGAAGTTAAAATTGTATTTTAAAATTTTATATTATCTTTTTTTTTCAAAAAAAATTTATGTTATCTGTTTTTCAAATTTTTTTTATATTATCTTTTAATTTATGCTTTTTTCAAAAGCAACCAACTACTGGCTAAAAAAAATCAGCATTTTAACTTTCATTTTAAATTTTGCTTATTTAAAAATTTGTTTTCCAAACATCTAAAAATTCTCAAAAGGATTTTTATTTTAAAAAAAACAACTTTTTTAGGAATAAAAACCTATCCAAACGGGTAAAAATGCAACCCACAGTGGGAAATTTTTTAGTGTTATGATAGACTGAATTTTCGGTATATTTTTTATTTACAATATGATACGTGTCTTATTTTTTATCAAATCATTCTTTCACCTAATTTTAAATTATTTATTAATTATTTGACAAATATAAAATAGTATCACATCATAGGTGAAAGATGCACCAAAAATTCAATACATTCATAGCACTAAATATATTCTCCCCGCATGATTCCCGCAAATCGAAGGATGTAAATAAGCTAGCCGGTTAGACTTTGCTTTAAAGTAATTAGTTCCGTGTAAAATACTTTAGGATTAGCATGATATGTTAGCCTTGTATAAATTCAGATTATAAGTTTGATCTGGTTTATATTTAAAAAACAAAAGTCTTATTTTATGTCTGTTTAAATCTAGTAAACATTGAATAATTTAAAGAATAATTAAAATAATATTATTTTATTATTTAAAATAATAATTTATTTATTTTATTTAAAATAAATAATATGATATAAGCCGTCTAGTAAATTTTTAGGCCCGATATGTAAACAAATAGAATATAAGCCAACTAGTAGACTTATAAACTCGACTAGTAAAAGAAAATTTATAGCTTATTTTCTAAATATACTTTTTTTTAGGCGTTAGCATATTCTAGGTCGAGTCTGACATGATATATGCAAAGCAAACACCTCTACTACTACCCCACCCAGTTAATATGAGCGTTTCACAAGCGCATTTGGAGGGCGTGTGGCATCTGTCTAATTTACCCTTAAATCAAGAGCAATGTCAACATACCCCTCTCCCTCGCACCCTTGAGGCCCTAGCTCGTTAGTTCTCTTTTCTCATTTGTTTTGCTTCCGAAATCTCTCTCTCTCTCTCTCTCTCTCTCTCTCTCTCTCTCTCTCTCTCTCTTTTTGATTCTGTTTTTCTCTGATCTGGTGGGTATCTGTGTTGTTTAATACAACTAGTTTAGTGTAGCTGTTCATTTGATTTTGCTCGGCAGTGGCAGGTAATAGCGGCGCATCCCCCCGTATATAAATATATGATATGAGATAACAAATTTAAGGTTATACATATATATATACATGCTTGTGGTTTTCATTAATTGTAGTTGGCAACAATGACAGCTCCAAATATGGAGGCCATAGCGGCTTCCTTAGAGAGGTCTCTTCAAAACTGTTCGTTAAACAACCACCAAACCGGGAGGGAAGACGGCACAGCCGCAGATGCAGCAGGCATAGGAATTTCATCCAGCTCAGATGATGTCCCAGATAATCATATATCCAACTCCGACACCACTTTAGAGCTCAACTCCCACATTTCACTCCCTTACCATTGGGAACAATGCCTAGATTTAAAGGTTCAATTCCCTTGTCCTTCTTCTCTTTTCTCTTTTCTCTTTTCCCCCCTCCCCTTTTACTACAGCAACATACAATTTTCTCTACCTTTTTTCTTGTTCCCTCTTCTCTATAAATATTGTACTCTGCATGAAACTTGATCTTGGGTCTCCCTCTTGTGTTTCTAGTTCACACAAGGGTTGTTGTGCATCCAATACCTTTTCCCAAGAATGAGAACAGCACTACTGCACACTGCACGGACGAAAGCCCTAGAAAATGAATTTTGCTATTTTATTTTTCTCATTTCTTTTCATTTCCCTTTTTCATCTATCAGGTAAGGGGCAACTTTCTGGGTTTGACCATCCTGAAAATTTTAGATAGCATAACTTCGGTTCTGTTGTTTGGGAAGAGGGGGGAAAAGTGAAATTTTATTTGTAAGTAATTATAAGATGTGTTCTAGTCTTGTAGAAGAGAAGTAGGATGTTCCTTAAATTAATTTGTTTGTTCGATCCTATATATTCTCGGGTAAGAGGGTGTGTTTGGTTTTTCTATTTTGTATTTGAGTGATTACTGCCTGGGTTTGTTAAGTTATTTGTGATAAAGTACTGAAATGAGTGTGAATGAATGAATGAATAATTGATTGGTTACAGACGGGGGAAATTTATTACATAAACTGGAGGAACGGGATGAAAGCAAAGGAGGATCCAAGAAGGGCAGCAGAGTATAGTGTGAATAGGGATTATGAGTCGGAAGAAGAGAGCTGGTACGACAGCGAAGAGTCTTCATCGGAGTCATGCCCCTCTTCATCCAAAGAACACTTTCAGGGAATCGTAGAGAAACAGAATGTTCTGGTGGTGGCTGGGTGCAAGAGCTGTCTCATGTATTTCATGATGCCCAAACACGTTCAAGACTGCCCAAAGTGTACTGGTAAACTCCTCCACTTTGATCGATCCGAAAATGGCTCTCCATGATTCCCATTTTTTCTTCTCTCAATTCCACCCTTCCCCCTCCTTGTCTTTTTTTTTTTTTTTTTTTTTTTTTTTTTTTTTTTTTTTTCCGCCTTTTCATTTCGCCAATTAGTGTGAACTTATAGTTCTCTTCTCCCTCTCTCTCTCTCTCTCTCTCACACACACTCTTTTTGTTTATTATTAGGATGAAATTTTTCATCTTTTCAAGTAAGAGACCCTTCTTTGTGTTTGGATCTTCAGAATAGGTCTGCATTTGTTCTCACTTTTTTTTTTATATAATTTTCATTAAATTACTGTCATTAATTTAACATTTTGTTGTTTTTCTCGGTCATCAATAAATAAAAAATACATATATTCGGTCAAGTTCTACAGTGCTGGCAGTAAGGTCAGTTTTAGAAGAACGAAAGAATAATATTTGTAATGATTGCGACGTGTTGCGTTCGTGCCTTTTCATTTATTTAAAAATAAATAAATTAAGATCAATGTATTGTCTCTTTTGTTTTTATATTTTACCGTTTGAGGTCCAGTTTAGTTACTTTAGTGCCATTCGTAGATTATTTCATTTTTTTATACATATGCATCAATGCATGGTTTTGTCTTTTCCTTCTCTCTCTCTTTCGTGTTTGTCAAAAGATCTCTAAAATCAGCATATGAATACCATCCCGTGTGTGTTACGGGCAATTGAGGCGTCCCAATTGACAATTTTTATCTCTAGTCGAAAGAGAAGCCTCGAATTCAGAATGTCTAAATAACAATCTCGTTTACGCGGGTGTTTTTGTTGAGTTGAATAATCTTGGCTTCCAGTTGTAATACTTCTCGTAAACAATTCTATTCACGCAAAAAAAGAGATTTCCAAAGAATTTTTTCTGGTGCATAAAGAAATTTATTTCAAGAAAAAAGATGGAGTCAACCTCGGATGGCTGATCTGTTATCATGATAAGCACTATCTTCATTCGATATTCTCGCCGTATACATAGGGTTTGATTTAAATTCATATATATGGAGTACAATTCGAGGGGCTACTAGGAGATGTGACTTACATAATACACCGTTAAATGGAGAACGAAAAAGTCAACAATATTTTTTTTTCCAAATTAATTGAGATCGACTGTCGATAAATTTAAATATAATAATAGTAATAATAATAATTATACTAATAATAATTATAAAATAATATAGAAAAACAAAAACAAATAAAGTAACCATTCAAATAAAATGCAATAGTTTAGTTAATTTTCTAGAGGTCGAATATACTTATCATCACTTTATTATCACCTTTATTAGGGGTGACAATTTGTGTTAGTTTTGATAAAAACACATATGCATTCAATTAGGATGTAAATGAGTTGGACCATACTTAAGTATAAATAGGTCAAACTTATAGTCTACGATAAATATTTTGAGCCTAATATATTAATCTGGTCTAAACTAAATTATAGGTCTGGGCTGATCTATATTAAAAAAAATCAAAAGATCTAATTTAGGCTTATGAGCCCATTTAAGTCTTTCAAGCTTTCCATATTTACCAAGAATTAAAAAATATATATATATATAATATTATTATTTTATTAATTAATTCTATTATAAATTTTAATTTAATTCAAATAAATAATACGATATAGGTCGATCTATAAACTTATGGGTCAAGCATTGTAAAAGTAAGGTTATGACCAGTTTGTAAATGATTTTTTTAAGATTTGAGTATATTTTATTTTGCTAGACAAGATTTGGTTTGATGTAGATCCTCGATAGGCTATTTGCCCCATTTATTCTGGTATATTCAATACGAACACAACACGAATATAGATTTATATCAACACCTTCAACACAAACATGACTTGTGAATTTTGTAGTTTGACACTATACACGAATAACTAGTTAGCTCAAGATGTTTCACTTATTTTTTTTTTGGATAAACCACATGTATTTTTCGTAGGAGGCAATCTTGTTTAGGACGAGTCCAGGATCAAGATTTTAAACCTCTCCCAAAGATGATATTGGGGATAATTGAATACTTGTTCTCACTTTCACGTGCTCAGCTCTCATGCACTAACCGAGTTACCATCATTTAGTCTTAACGCAAGTCAATGTTGTGTTTTCAAGTTGATACATAACACAACATAAACTTTTTTATATCATTTTTTTGTAACATGAATATAATACGAATGTCAATGCCCGATAAACTTGATTATGAAAATTTTGTATCGTGTTTGTGTAATATCAATGGGTCATGTAATGAATTATCAACCCCAATTTTTATTATCGTCGGATTAAATTTAAATCTAACCCTCGGGATCTGTTATTCACCTCCTCTATTGATCTATTGGTAATGGTAGAGATGTGCATGGGTCGAACCGAACCAGTTATTTTGAAAAACCGAATCGAATTGGTTTAAATGGTTCGATTCGAAAGTGGTTCGGTTCGGTTCAAAATTGGTTCGGTTCAGAACCGGTTCGGGTCGACCCTCTTTTGAAAAGAAAAAACATTAAAAATTTAAAAAATAAAGTTATAAAAATTAATTTGATTCGTTTTGAAAGTAGTTCGGTTCGGTTCTTAAACCGGTTCTAAAATTCGGTTCGGTTCATGAACTGGTTTTTAAAAACTGGTTATTTTATGGAGCGGTTTGATACGGTTCATGGTTCGACCCAATTTTTTGATTATTTTGCACACCTCTAGATAATGGTAATAGGGATGATAAGATGTGATAGGCATAGAGTGATGCTCAGTATAGCCCGACTTTCTTTTTATATTGGACAATTCTTTTCCGGATTGATAACGAATGGTAGAGAAGTTATTATCCACCGAATGATGGTATTTCTGTTGGCGTATACACTACAAGAAAATTGGTTTTTAGAGGCGGTTAAATTGGCATTTTGAGGCGGTTCAAACCGCCTCTAAATGCTAGGTTTGACAGTTCATAAACCGCCTCGTTTACCACCGTCGCGAGGCAAAATACGACAGTTTTAAAAAATCGCTGGAATAACCGCCTCTACATGATAATCTTAGACAGTTATATTAACTGCCTCCAAATAACGTGTAACCGCCTTTAAATAGTTAAAATTATATGAATTTTAAATTTTTAATATTAAAATTGTTATTTTTAAAAGTTAATATAATTTTTATTTTTAGTATAATTTTTTTTTAAAAAAATATTTTTAAAAGTTAATATAATCTTTATTAGTTGAATATAAATAACTTATAGAATTTTGTATATGAGTGTGTTAGTGTGGGTTGTTATATAGAAGGGAATGGAGAAGGAGAAACAAGTGCCATCCAATGTGGGACTTTAAAGTGAAGGTGAGATGGTTTTTTTCAATGTGTAAGAGTCATCTTTGAAAATTTATATATAACATCTGATAATTCAACTTAAAAATCTGAACGGTCAGATTAAAGTATTACAAGAGAAGAACGCACTAATCAAATTTGAGAACAATCAAACGGTGGAACAAAGAGATTTTCCTTTTTGAATGTCACTGTCCGATACACCTTGAACCGCCTCTAAATATATTTTGGAGGCGGTTATTTTATCCACCTTTAATATACATTTTGAGGCGGTTCACATGAAATCGCCTCCAAATGTGTACTAGAGGCGGTTATTAAACGCCTCTATTTACCATTCAGAGGCGGTTTTAACCGCCTCTAAATGGTCAATGAGGGCGTTTATTTTAACTGCGTCTAATATACATTTGGAGATGGTTATGGTTTAACCGCCTCTAAAGATAGCAATTAGATGTGAATTTAATGTAACCGCCTCTGAATGATAAATAGAGGTGGTTATTTTAACCGTCTCTAGTTTATATTTGGAGGCAGTTTCATGTGAACCGCCTCGAATCAATTAAATCGCCGGAAAAACCGCCACTATGTAAAAAATTGGAGGCAGTTTAAGTGAAGTCGCTCAATTTAACAGCCTCCAAATACCAGTTTTCTTGTAGTGATAAGAGGTGAGTATGTGATGGAGAGAGATGTATTCGATTCTTCCAAATTTTTAGGAAAAATTTAAAACCTTAATCTTATACTCACTCCGAACAAAATTGATTCCCTTAGAGAATATTCCTAGTTTATAAAAAAAAGTGATCCTCCCAAATTGCCAAATAACATCATCTGGTTATGGTAAGGTTGGGTTTTTCTTTGGTCAACTGCTTCGGCGTGTCTGACAAAACCGAAAGAATAAAGTAGAATAAAATAAAAGAAAAAAAGATTGAAGTGAGGATGTAGGAGGTTTTGCTTTGATGGTGGCTGAGTTGTGAGTGCGTGAGTCAATGATTTGAGTGGCTGCGCAATTAACAATAAAACATTTAACCATTCATATAAACTTACATAACATTTTATATATTTGAATAATTTTTATTATTCTTTTACATTTCGATTTATTTCATTTTTTCATACTTACCTTTTAATTTTATTACGTGTGCATGTATGAGAAATGGGAGATTATTAAGGAGATGTGTAGTAAGCAATTTTCTATTTTTTTTTTTTGTTCTAGTCACTTATTGCCAACTACAGATACATATTGGACCAATGCTATAATATTTCTTTTGCTTCCCAACCTTTTACCTCAGCTTTTAGGCGTATTTCTTCAACTTTAGCCCTTCATTTCTTATGTGATTATTTTTTTTGGATACAACTCTTATGTGATTATATATATTGTGGTTGTTTACATTACTCTTCAATAATTTTGAAGTTCAGGTTTTAGGGGAAAGTCTAAGGTTTTCCTCCAGCGGTCCATGAAGTGGAATAGTGGATAACCTATAAACTATTGTTTTGTGAGTATTAATTATGATAATGATAGCTTTCTACTGGCAACCAGGCTATTAAAGAAGTTGAGTTTACGGTTTCAACTTTGGAAAATAATACTATCATGATACATGAGAGTAAATCATTTTCTTACACAAATTTATTTTCTGTGCTAATTAATTTTTCTTTTCTTTTTAAATATAAAATATGGGACCCATATTTAACTTCTCTTTATTTTTTTTCTCTCTTACAATCCTACAACATACATAAGAAAACTTAAACCCAAATAGGGTTATGTTTATCTTATTTTACATGAGATAAATAACTCTCCTACACACACAAAAATGGATTGGGTCCCACCACTCTTTTTTCTTTTTTCTCTTACCTGTGGGTCCCACTTATACTTTTGTTTCTACAACATGAAGTAATTTTTTTCCTACAACATAAGAAAAATATATCCCTAAAAAATAATCATGCCGATTTGCACATTCAGCTTTGGGACAATTATAATTTACCAACCTCGAA